ATAAAAAAAAATTAATGTTTGAGGGCTAAAATTAAAACTTAAGCAGCTGGGAAAAATTCTATAAAAAAAAATTCAAGATTTTAAAAAATTTAAAACGAAATTAAAATTTAAAATGAAAAGTTAAAAAAACTGAGCAAAAAAAAAAACAAGGGAAAAATTTGATTTTCCTTAAAGTTCGAATGCTTGGTATAAATACATAAAATACAAATAAATTAGCCCTTTACTACACTGTTTGTTCAAAGTTCCTTTCAGAATATAAGTTATAATAAAAAAAAAACTCGAATAAGTAAAAGTTTCGTGAAAATTCGTTAAAATTCCTGGAACTCGGAAGCCCTTGAGATTTGGCACCCAGTCCGGAACAAAACTTCTACCTATTTTCGATCTTCTTTACTTTTCTGATTCACCCTGTATATGTATGTTCACATTATCAAATATTTTCATTAAAATACATTTATGGTTATGATGTTACGTACTAAATATATGGGTTTATGTGTATTTATACACATAGAAGATTAGACGTTTTTAATTAATCAGTGATGCCGTTTCACTGATTTTACCACTTTAGCTATAGGAATTTTAATAACACTTAAACAACAAAAAATAATAGGAAATTGAATAAAAGAAAATAATGATTTGCAGCGACATTTCTTCTTAATAATAATTTAAGATAAAAAAAGAAGAATGAATAATTGAGCTATTTTTGACTTTTTTGACAAATTTTATTTTTTATTCATTATCGTTCCTTCTTTTTGTTGCGTTCTTTTTTGTTGTATTATAGGAAATGCAATGTCATACAAATACTATAACATAATAAAAACAATAAAAATTAATATCATACTTTGATGTTAATACTTATGGATTTTTCGTTCTTTGCTTTCAAAAAGCAATTTATGTTTGCATACATATTACATATTATGTATGTAATTTCTTTATATTTGAATAATTTTATTTCTAATATATCAACCAATATTATGAATTCAATATTGTGTTCTTTTTTAAAATGAAATACATATATAAATCTAGGATTTGTAATGGATTTTAGGAAATTTTCTGCTTTTAAAATTATACGAATTTAGAGAATTTTCGATATCACCAAATTTTTTTTCTTTTGTGACGACAACACTGATTGTATTGTTGCTGTTTCTGGATATTGAATCTTGATTGTGCTTTATTTTCTTTTTTAGTTTTTATTGTACAGTTTTGTTGTTGTTGGGTGGTAGTGTTGCTGTTTTTGTTGTTTAATACTTTGTAGTTTTTGATATGTGTATGTATATTTATGGATATGTTCATATATTTCTTTATTACTTTTTTTGTTGTATTGTGGATGTTGTTTAGTAGCGTTATTTATGCAGCTATTGTTTTTGTTTGTTGCTTTGTTTTATTATTTTTATTGTTGGTTGTGACGTCGTTTTCTTAATTTTTTTTCCTATTTTATCATTTATTGCTGTTGTTATATTTTTTTTTCGATTTTTTATTTCACAAATTATTGTAAAATATAAAATATTTTATTTTTAATAATTTATGCATAAGTACATGTATAAACAAATAGTTACATATGTACATATGTATGTATGTACAAATAAAGTAATTTTGTGTACGAAATTAGAAATAATAAATATTTGTATATAAGATATGATTAACATAAAAAAATTATATATATATATATATATATATATATGTAAATATATATATATATATATATATTTACATATTATTTACATATTATATATATTTACATATTATATACAATATAACTACATACATATGTACATATATATTTAACAATCTAAGTATAACTATTTATTTTTTAATTAATTGTTTTTTTTTTATTTAGGTAATTTTTACCGTAATAATTATTTGTTTTTTATTGAAGTGTGGAACTCTTTGTAAAATACTTTAATAAATATTATGTATCTACATATGGGCGTATGTACATACATATGTACTTATGTATATTGAATATATGTATGTATGTACTTATACAAAAAAAGAGTTCATATAAAATGAATGAAAAAATTAGTTTTGCATTTCGTAATAAAAACGTATCATATATACATATATATATTTATATATATATATATATATATATATTTATATATATATATATATATATATACATATGTATGTATGCAGATATAAAATTATGAATATAAATGTATATTATAACAATAATATATAATTCATAATAGTGTAATAGATTCATACACACGTACATACATACATTTTTCCTGTTTTAATGTATTAATTGCGTTCATGTGAACACTTTAGTATGGACACAATCATACATACTTTATTTCGTATTCCAATAGATTAAAAAAATACAGTAGAATCTTGTAAAACTATAAAAAAACTACTCATAATAAATTAAGATGTCATAAATTTAGTTTAGTAAAACAGAATGTTGGAAAATTTTAATTTTAATTGACAGAGTCAACAGGTTGACGAAAACCCCATTTTCTAAGTATTTTCTAAAACTTTACACTTTTCATAAATTATTATGGGACATACACACGGATATGTATGTATGCACTTATGTTGTTAAATATTTCTCGTTCAAAAATTTAGTATATGCATAATTTTCTTAGCGCAGTAATAGCAATTGAGTGTACATATATAAATGTACAAGGTAATTAAGAAAGGTATAGAACAATAACTATATATCATAGGATAGAAAATTTGGAAAAAATCTTTTTTCAGGTGTGATTGCCAAATTTCAATATATTTATATGTATATATACATATGCTGCATGTAGTTTAAATCTATTAATTTAACAACTTCAAAAATTTAAGTTTAAAATTTAATGTTTTAGCTGCAACTAAATACAATATATAACAACATATTAATTCTGCATGCAGACTTTCTTGCTCTGACCCATTTAAACTTCAAATAGTATTACACTCTCTATATATTTATTTGTCAGATGAAATAAAACATTTTTCGACACAGTAAGGAAATCAGAACCCTTGAAAATATTTGTAAAGGTAAAATTATCATATTATTACTTACAGACATTAAAACAATAAGTAATAAAGTGAAGCCGGTAAAATAAATTTAAAAAAAATTCCGACTACACATGTTATTATGTATAAGAATTTCATTATAGTTACAGTAGTAAAATTATATCTGTAACTATTCATAGATACGTACGTACATACGTACCTATAAAGTTAGTGGTTACAACAAAATATATTCATAATCATTTGATATGTACACACATACGTCGGAATGTATGTTTTTTAATGTAGAAATCATATGAATGTCGTTGGAAACTGTTTCATTGTATGTATTTGCTTATGTTTTATATAACATTAACATTTTATTAAAGCATGCATTAAAAAATTAAAATTACTTCTTTAATTTAATCACACACTTCGAAATTCATATATGTATGTACATTTTAACTGAAATTCATCTTTTTAAAATGAACTTGGAAATAAAAATATGTATTTTAAAAACCTACTGATGATTTTAATAAGAAATTACAATATTAAGTAGATCGACTATTAATTTCTAAGCAAAAACCTTAAAAATTCGAAATAAAGTTTTTCTAGTTTTAAAAATAAAAATTTCTTTAGTATGCTAATTTTCATTATGAAAAACAAATACATACTTAAACTTAAAACGAAATAGAGTACAATATGCAAGTTATCCCATTCGTATTAACGTTATCGTTCATTAAGAGTATAAGCTATAGTTTTTAAACTATTAGACTATATTATTAATATGTATTATATTGTGAATACAAATGAGATAAATTTTAAAGGTCAATATAAAGTTTCTTTATATGGAATAGAAATTTGGATTATTATGAACTTTAAACAGAATTAAATATTAACAGATCATAATATTAAAATAAAATAAACCTAATTTATTACATTGGATAAACTTGTTTTAATTGTTTTAAAATAGAAGTATTCAACAGTTGACTCAAATTATTCTGCTTTTTTATTAAGTAAGTATGAATTCCTATAAATTTTGCTAGTCAATTTTATTGTATCTAAATGAACTTATAATCTAATATAAACTTATAAAACAAATAATGTTGTTAATGCATTTTGGAAATTTTATAATTGAAAGGAACTAATTATAGCTTAAAAAAAACAATAAATACTTATACGTCATTCATAGTGAATACGAGTATTAATTTTAAATCCCAACCTACAATCTATCAATGTATAATATTTTACCAGCTTTACTTTTATATTTTAATATGTTAAAGAAACAATTTTGACTAAATTGTTGTTATAGAAACCATTTTAACATACTTTTATATATTTTTAAATGTAGTAGGACTTTGGAGCAAAAATATTTTAAAATTTTAGGTTTATTCAAAAATTTAGATTTACTCTTTATTACGAATGTTCATAAGAATGTTCCAATATGCATATTTACCCTCTATCTACATAATTATACTCTAGCTATTAGTTAAGAAAATAATTAAGATACTTATTTACATTCCGCAAGTTTTTTATTGGTGAAGGTAAATTAAAGTGGAATTTTAATATACTTAAGCCAATAGTTTGTAACTACTTTATTATGTTCTTTAATAATTATGTATGTATGTTAGGTAGTTATATTATATTAGAAAATTTATTCATAATATAATTATTATTATTACAATACAAAATATAAATTTTAAGAGTAAAAAAATACTTCACGAATTAACTTATTATGTCAATATCCACGCATATGTATAAGTAAGTATGAATATTGTCTATATTATTTATTGATTTTGTTATAACTAAACACGCTTCTTATCTTCTTTGTAAAATTCATAGCAAATAAATTATAATCAAATACTATAAGTAATAGAAATTTATACTAAATTTCATTTCATAATTCAAATTGAAAATCTTTTATTATAAAATTTTAAAGTACTTAGGTAAATAATACCATAAGCAATTTAAGAAAATAAAATACTTTTTATTTATATTATGCAATCTTTTTAAAAATAATGTAATTTAATAATATTAGTTAGTATAAATGTTGTGCACTTTACCTTAAATCATTATCTTGATCATCTATATTTGTGTAGATATTGAAAATTGGAATCCACAATTGGAAACAACTTTTGTTGATTTGAAGAAAAAAAAACAAAAATTTAAAATAATATTTTTTTAAACAAGAAACATAAAAAAAACACGAAGTAAAAAGAAAACACAAAGAAAATATACAAAAAGAAAATTTTTTTAAAACACTTGCTAGCTCTTTCGCACTTTTTTGTTTTAAAAACTTAGAAGAGGCATTCGCATTTAATATTAGATGAATACCATCTTATATATTTATTAATACATATATACTATATTATATTATATACACATCGTATGTGTTGTATATGAAAAACACACTGTATTATATTATCTACATACATGTAGATAGGTACATAGAAATTTTATTAATTTTTATTTTCTGATATTTTGGAAATTGTACCAACTTTTATTTTCTTTAAATTTTCAATTGAATACTAAACTTTAAATTATGTGAAAATTTTGAAAATTTCAAATAAATTTTTTTTATTTATATTAGCCTACTGAGCTTTGTTTTTTTTTACGTATTATTAAAATTTTTTGTTCAAATTGCACTTAACAAATTTATTCCAATTTAATATACGCGTTCCATATACATACATACAATTAGTATAAGCACTAGTATTCGTTTAGGATACAATGGAAATTTAAAATAATTATTTATATTTTAGGAAAGTCTGAATAAATTAAATCAATGAATTTTTTATTAATTTTTTTCTTCTAATAAAATGAAACAAAGTGAAAATAAAAACAAAACTCAAATTTAATTAGACATACTTATATGTTCACATATGTATATAAATATGTATATATATTCATTATAAAAATGTATTCATTATACATATTTTTTTATATCACATGTAGAAACACACAAAAAAATTGTTTTGTTTATAAAAATTTAGAAACACGAGATTTTATTTCCGAAATATAAAAAAAAAACTTGTCAAATTATTTTTTTTTCTTCTATAGATTTTTTTTATAGACATATGTATATATGTATCCAAACACGTAAATTACTCTATTTGTATAATTATATTTGTGGATCATAAAATGTTTATGCTATCGCGCCTCCAACCTATAATCGCAAAAATTATCATTGGGCTGTCAGAAAGAAATCTGTGTTAGGTATCGTATAAGTGTGTATGTTTGTGGTTTAAATGAAAACGCGACACAATATTATTGTTGTTGTTTTAAAATTTTATATATATTTATGTAGAGAAAGATATATCTCTCTATCCTATTTGTTTTCACATTTATTTTTTCCTATAGATTATCCACATAATATTCTGTAATATAAACTACACGGCGGCACGGTTATAACTTCAACGCAAACCGACAAAACGTCGCAATCGATTATCGCATCGCATGGTTTCATTAATGGAACAGACTCAGCTCTATTGTCGTACAAATTTTCATTTTTTTTTCTTTTTTTTGTTTTATGATTGGTTTTAGTAAGTCACTTTTAAATCACAAATATTTCATATAATATTTATCTAAATCACTTAAATTTAATGTTCTTTTATTTATTATATATTATATATTGTTTATTTACAATTTATTTTTATTTATTTTGATTAAAATATATTGAAATTTAGTTATTTTTTGAATAGGAAATAGCACAAGCTTTCTTGTCATGTATCTCTAAATGACTGTAGACAATGTCTGTCATTTCAAATCAATTTGAATAACGCAGTTTTTTGTACAAAATGTTTATAAACATTTATTATGTCAAAATTAGAAAAGTGTATTCACATTTTAAGAAAAGAAGAATGTTGTGGCATGTACCCTCCGATCATGTACAGGTATCCCTCGTATAACACGGCACTTGTATAACACGTTTTCGATATTACACGGTATAAAATTTGCGACTTTTTTAACACGATTTTCGATATTACACGGAAATTTTTTTTTAAATTTTGATATTCAACACAACAAAAATGGGATTTCCCCTAAAAATAATAACAAATACTTAAACATACAAAATACATTTCGTAATATGTACTTGAATAATTTATATTCTCTGTCAAGCCACTTGTGTTTTTCACTTTGATAAAGAAAGATCGTTCAAGTTTCAACTAACTAAAGGAAAATATTAATGTCAAATATTTTAATTAATTCTTATCTACATAATTAAAAGTGGTATTTATAAAAAATTAAATAAATAGAATAACGTTAATTCTTTATGTTTTGTTAAAGTATACATACAAAGTGAATAATAAAATAACTTTCTCTAGAGTGCTTGTCTTTGTATAAAACAATTTATAATAATTTCAATTCAAGGTAATATTATTCAAGCTTAAATGTCACAATTCGCACTTAATCTATATTTTATTTAACCTTAAATTTAGATAATGTCTGGCAAAATCAAGAAACAAATATTTAAACGAAAATTTATTTCCCTCGATACGAAAATAGAAATTTTGAATCGTAAACAGTCTGGAGAAAAAAACGCAACAATTGCGAAATCCTTAAATTTGAACGAATCTACTATTAGAACTATTTTAAAAAATGAAAGTCAAATCAGACAAAATGTGGCCGCTGGTTGCTCGCAAGGTGCAAAACGTGTGAGCAGAAAGCGAGATATAAATGTCGTAATTTAAAAGAGATCTCAGAAGTTGCTTGGGTCCTTATAGAGAAGTTTTGGCCCAGTTGCAATCTGATTTTGTAGCTGCTTCATCTGATGAAGAAATAACTAGTGACGAGGATTTTCAAGCAAATATGAAAAAAATTAATACTAAGTCACGGGTCATTTTTGATGACAGCGATGATTCAAATTAATCTAATGAAATTGTTTCATTACGATTTATACATTATGAATTTATATTTTTATTTTTGTTCGTTATTACTTATGATTGAATTTATTATTTATTTATATTAAAAAAATAAAGTTAATAAGTTTTTCATTAATTTTTTTATGAAATTTCAGATTTTCTAAAATTTACCTCTCGATATAACACGGAGCATGTTTTCGATATTACACGGAAAATACATTAGTTTTACAGTCTCGTTTAACACGGTTTCGATACAACACGGTTTTTATATAACACGGTCTCGATATTACACGGACAAAAAAATTTTCTTGAATTGATGTAATTACGTTATTTATTGTACCTAACAATATTATGTACATAATTTGTTATCTTTTTAAAAACCTCGTATACCACGGTTTCGATATAACACGGAACCAATTAACCGTGTTATACGAGGGATACCTGTACTTGGCTGTAAGTATTTTGTAGAAAATCAAAGGGTTTGAGCTGAGCAGTACAATTGGCATCAAATATACTCAAATATACATGACACCATTATTTTCTGCGTGATTGAAAATATTATGATATTGTTTGTTTTAAATATTTTGACAGGACCATTATTCAAAATATTTATGCGTATGTAATTAAATATTTGTTTGAAAGTTGAAAAAAAGGAAAAACAGGTTGTATATATAAAATATTTTTAGTTGTTTTTATACAAAATATTTTTTTGACAAAGGTTGGAGCATTAATATTAATAAATTTAACAAAGGAGTAAGCATTTTATAACATTCAACATTTTTACGAAATATTTGTTGCAAATTTTACTAACTTCTGACACTTATTTTCACTTTTACAATTTTATGTATTTCTTTGAAAACATGAAATTGTAAAACTTTTAAAAAATTTTTAATTTTTTTAAAATTTTAATTCTTTAATCATTGTTTAGCATTAAAATTTTTTCCATCAATTATAAGTATGTATGTATCGTAATTTTTTATTACGTACGCAGTAACTCCATCTACATGTAACAAAGTCAGAATATATGTATGTACATATATTTCATATTAATTTAAAAAAAAAATTATTTTTTGTTACAACCTCTGAACCAGTTGTATATTATATAATCTATGCCTTGAACTGTTTGTTCTATAAAAATATGCAATCGCAATAGTTTTGAAGTTTGAAAACAAATAACTGAAATAACCTAACGGTTCTGAATTTTTAAAAAAATTCCTCCATTTGAATGTTGATAAGATTCAATTTTAAATACGAAAAGTATTTATATTCTACAAAAGTTCAAAACAAACACTTCAGCCACTTTTAATTATTTTATAAAGCAAATTATGGTAAGTAGCCATTTATGTAATATTTTAGTTTACACATTTAATTTTTAAAATTTTGTACTGTCATCGATCTGGTAATCGAGGTTAAGGAACAACTAAAAAATTGCATTTTAGTGAGTAAATATGTTAAGGCGAAGAAATATTTATTTTATTTTTCGGTATGAAGTGCAACATACTTGTACTGAGATTCCTCATTTCCGGTATTTTGAAGTTATTCAAATTACGTAGCAATAAATGTAAAATTTAATTGGACTATAGCTAGTAAATGTGTTTAATTTTTAAGGTTTCCAACGTATATATATTAGATCTTATCTATAAAAGTGGGCAATCTATATGTATATATTAGATCTTATCTATAAAAGTGGGCCTGTCGGCCTTTAAACTTTGTAAAAATGTTAAAAGTTGGTCACATAAGTAAAAGAAATTTCTTTTTTTTTTCGTTTTTATTAATGAAAACATTTACATATTTAAAAAAAAGTTGTCATGTAAAATTAACAAAAAATTGATATCCTCTTATCACATAATAAAAATCTATGAAATATATTTGGAATGATATTGCTATTACAAATGCATGCTATTTATATTTTAATAAAATTTTAAAAAATTTTCATTTCATCTTAATAAATTTTAATATAACTGTTTTGATATAAAGATGTAAACTTTTATAAAAAATGCTTTTTTTGGCAGTTGTTCATTTCTACTTTTTACAATTATTACGTCTATAAAAAGCATACTCTTCGCAACTTAAATATGTATTTATTATAAATATGTGTTAATTATTAATCTTTTCTTTTTCTTATTTCATATTATGTATAATGTTCATAAATTTTTAAACTTACATTTAAAGCGGCTAACTTTTAACTTTATACAATGAGTATCGCATATTTTAAGGGATTTTTAAGTAATAAAACGTAAATTGTAGTTTCTTTTTTCCAACTTTCAAATTCAATACAAAATTTTGTAAATAATATATTAAAAATATTGATATTTTATTTAATAAATATTGTTCTAATATTTACAGAAATATGCATAACCGTTACTTAAAATTGAATGAATATTATACAAATTTTAACTAAACCCCAACATAACAACCAAACCTCTAAAAAAAAAGAAAAAAAAAGAAAATTCAAGGATCAAAATAAACTATAATAGTAAAGTTCTTCTACAATTTACGTAAAATAAGCTGTCCTACTATTATTACTATCTTAATATTATGATACTGACGAGTTTATACTTTTGTTTTTTTTCAATTATATAGGAATTTAATTTTAAGAAATTTTTACTGATTTTATAAGAAAATCAGTATTATTTTATGTAGACGTTACACCTTTTCTAGCAACAAGCAAGTTTAGTACGGGATTTTTTCGTATGTAACTTACTGCTTTTTTATGGGTTACCATTGTAAAATCGTAACCATTGCATTGCAATATTTTATCATGAATTCTTAAACCAGATCTGGCTGCTGGACTGTCTTCGTGCACTTCAGTGACATATATACCCTGAAAATAGTAACTTTATTACCTTTCAAATATTTCAGAATTGATGATGAAAATATTTAATTTTGAACATGCTTACGTAGTCAGTATAACCCTGAGGCGATTTTTTATAATCTTGATCAATTCCTGTATGAAATACATTTTAATAAATAAAATAATTTATTTTTGGAAATTTAGCTACCTCCACCAATCTTAAATCCACACTTCAGTACTTCTCGACCTTCTTCATCAACATCTTTCTCCTTGTGCAGTGTTATAGGAATCTAAAAATTTCCAAAAAAAACATTAACATGGCACCGCCTTTGAATTGATTTTCTTACGCTTAAACATTCCATTGCTGTACCAGCCTTGTGTTGAAAAGCCATTTTAGCCATTTTAGTAAAATTGTTTTATATTATATTTTACGATTTTAATGTAGAAAATTTAAATGTTTTAATTTAATTGAAATCAATAGAAAAACAAAATGGGATGAGAAATAAAGATGGTTTGTAAAGTATATGTCAAAGTCATATATTTTTTGACAAATCAATGACAACTAAGCTTTTTCTGTTTTCGTTGTCATTCACATGATTTACATAGAAAATTAATATTATGAGAATTCATATTGACGATTTGTAATTGTAATTTCCTTCAGTGCAATTGATTGGCATGTTTTAATAATTCAATTCATAAACTACGTCCAAAAAATTATTTTTTTAGATTCTAATTCCTGACAGTCAGCCGAGTTTCCATTTCGTTCTTTTTAAAGCTGTGGATGCTTCATTTTGTATACAAAAAGAATTGCAATATCCCATGATTTGCTACATTTTCATCCAAAAGAAACAAAAGAACGAATGTCAAATAAACCATTTATTAAAAAGTGATAAACCCAGGGGCTTATTTTAAAATAATTGGATTAAAAGGATTAATTGGAGTTAGTTTTTGACATCAAAGTACATGTTATCCATACGACTTGTCAAAAAATTAAATAATTTTTGTTAAAACAGGTTCATTAGACGTAGCTTATTTTTTAATAAAATAACTGAATTTAAATTTATTTCTTTCTGAATAATGAACCTACTGTTTAATTTTTTTTTGACTTCATTTAATTTATTACTGGATTTGTTGATTTGTCCTTTACAGAACAAAATGTGTAGCTGTGGTCACTACATTACTGTTAATTTGTAATGTTCCTCGGTTAAGTATAATTAAACAAATTAAGTTAAATGTTTTAATTAATGTAATTTCTTTATCAATTTTCAAAGTTATCCCTTAACTGAAGTTTTACATTCATAATATAAATAAACCAAGCCAATTTATATTCTCCGATTTGAGTAAAATTGTTATTATTCATTTTTTTTTCGTTAGTATTATAATATATTTTTAAACATCCATTATTTTAGATTTAACTCTTTATATGTACATAATATATGTATTTTATCACAATCGAAACTACATTAGATGTTGTTTTGAATTTTTTTCATGTTTTCTAAATAAGCCTGCCTGCAACTCATATTATCTGCTGGTCTGTTATAAGGCAACCAAACCGGTTCTCCAACAAAATATCTCTTTGCTTTAATGAAATTCTAAAACATAAAAATATTTCATTCAGGTATTCATATACATAATTATGTCATATGTATCAACAAACATATTACATTTGTATCAAGAGTAAAACGATGATAAATCCCTGCTGGAATAACAATCAAGTCGCCTGGGGTAACAAAAATTCTAATCCATTTATCATCTTGACTAGAAAAACAAAAATTAATATTGTAATACGCACAACAAAACAATATATTTTTTACTCTCTGACATCAAAATAACCAGAGCCTTCTAATACAAAACGGATTTCCTCATCAGTATGCAAATGTTCGGTAAAAAAATGTTTCAGTTTATTTTCATAATCAGGTAAGCATTCTTTAGAGCATGTCAACTAAAAATATACAATACAAAGGATAATTATACATATGTAATATGAAATTTTCGGAATAATTACTTCATCTTCGTAAGAGTACCCACGTTCCTTCCGTATTTTGTCCAATTTTCCATCTTCCTTGTATTTTTTAGCATCTAACTGAAATACGAAATTTTTGAAAAATGTTCTGATCAATTTCTTAAAACGCTCACAAGATTGCGCTCATAATTTGCTATCAAATGACAGAATATAAAAATGCATTTTTGACATTCACGGAAAATGTTGAAATCTTTATTTTTATTGTCGTAAATGTAAAATAATTACAAATTTCATTTGTAATTTTTTAGTTCTTAAATTTCTAATTAGAGTTTGGTTTTTTTTTTCATTGCTATACTTACAATAAAATGTTCTACACCAGTTTTTTTATATAGTTCTTCAAGATTTATAAATTCTGGTTTATCAGGATTTGCGTAGTGTTCCAATCTTTGGTCTTCCGTAGAATCATCCATATACCATGCCTTTACCATTTTTATTTAAAAAAATACATATAAAACCAATAAGATGTAAATTTTTTTTAATCAAACAAATAAATAAAAAATTTATTAAAATTAGTTTAATTCAAAAATGAAAAATTTGAAAGAACGCAAGTAAATTTTCTCTGCAATTTATAGATCAGACTGAGGTGTAAGTTTTTTAATTTAATTTGTTTTTATAGCAATAAGAGCTTTAAGCTTTTGAGATTATAATTTAAAGCTTATGATCTGAGAGTTCATGATTGATAACAAAAAAAATATTCATTTGATCAAAATTTACTAATTACAATTTACAATTATACAGCCCACTATAATTATGGCAGTTGCATTGTAGTTTGAATGAACATGCAAAGCTCAACATTTGAATAACTAGAGTCTAGACTGTTAAAAATGATGTATGTTGTATTTGGTTACTTTAGATACATACATATGCATTATTATTGTTTATTAATCTTTTTTGTTTTAAGTTTAAATAGAAGTATAATAATTATAAAATACGTTCCAATAACAAAACAAATTTTACGGAATTTTTTTCCTTGTTACTGAGTTAATAAAGAAAGAAATTGCATATACATATGTACATATGTCATAATATGTAAGCTATACAACATTTATTGTGTAACTTCAATTATTTAGAAATAAGTGTATATAAAACTTTAAGATACTTAAATTAAATGTATTAAATTAGTGTCAGCTACATGTTTATTTCTAACATAATAATTGCAACAAATTATCGGGGCAACGCTAAACACATAAATTTGTGTCTAGGTAATTAAAATCATAACATAAGAAATGAATTTTTAAGTAGCACCTAATTCGTATTTCCAAATTTCTTTAAATTAAATTTGATAAGATTTTTGCATTAATATTTTTTTTTTTTTTTTTTTTTTTTTTTTTTTTTTTTATTACAATTTATTTATTTATTTTAGTATCAATTCACAAATATACATATAAAATCTTAAGATTAATGCAATACAACTATTTATTTTATAACTATGTATGCAAATTGATGATAAACTATACAGTAGTGTAAATAAACACTAGTGATGTATAGTATTATGCACCGATACTACCACATATTACTTATTATTAATACAAATTTTGTGGGGTGGGGTATATTACTTGTTTTTTAAAATTACATTTACATTTATTTACTTAAAATAAATATTAATTGTTTTTATTATATATATTGATATTTTATTTTGACGATATTCTATATTTTATTTTTTTTTTTTTTTTTATTTGAATTTAATTAATTTACTATTTTAAAGTTTTCTAATTGTGCAAGTACAAAAAGGGTAAACCGAGCAACATAAATAATCTAGTATTATTTTAGACACCTTATTTTTATAAAACTCTTTATAACTACAATTGAAATATTTTTTTGTTATGTAATCTTTGAAAATTTCGATACCTTCTTTATTATCAATTCTTGAAATATGCATATCAATAACGAACTTTGGTACTCGTATTTGTAACATAGAGGGATTTATCTTATTATAAATGTCCGACCAAATTACCCATTTAAAGTCATTTATTTCATTTATAGTAAATTCTTCTTTATAGTTAAAAAAAACTGTATTATAGCTTTTATTCACGAAACACTGTGAAGGAACATCTACATATTTTAGCATAGTTAATTGTAAATCATCTGCATTGATAAGTAGATTTAGCAATTCGCAGCACGATTTTATACGGAAGAGAGAGGTACAAAAAACTAGTATTTTTTCGGGATCCATGTCAGGGCGTACATTTATTACAGACCTACCATGAATATATATTGACTTTATGTAATTCTTATCGTAAACCACAGTAACATCACCAGAACAATTTGGGGAATATTTGTTAAAATTCTCCAAGACATTCAATTCTAAAAGTTAAAAAAAAAAAATACGTTTAATTATTCATTTTAACTAAAAAAAAATAAAAATTTTGCAAATGTCTTCCTTTTCCGCACTTATTATCGATTGCTTTAACAAACGAGTAAGAGCAGAAAAGAACATTTACGAGTTTTAAGAATTTTGGAGCAAATCCTCGCTTAGCACTTCTTTCCAATGAAAGGAGACCAGTGAGGCAAAATTTTTTTTTTTTTTTCATTAATGCAATGAAATTTCTAAATCTTTATAATCAAATGTCAATAACCAGTTTCTACACAATTTTGAAAATTTATTTAATGTGCTAGCTTCCTTAATTTCCTGCGGTAAATTATTGTAATATTTCGGAGCTAGAAAATCATAAGATTTTTGAAAGTGGGTTACTCTGCTTAAAGGAACACGAACTAAGTTTTGACTATTTATCCTTAGTCTATAAGAATTACAAAAGCGCGAAGGTAAGCGATTTTTACTTTTATAAAATTTAATTAAGCACTTATACGCAAAAAGATGTCTTAAGGGTAATATTGCTTGCGCTTGAAATAAAGGCCAGCAATGAAAAAGTCTTGATTTTCCATGAATGATCTTCAGTATACTTTTTTGCGCCAAAAAAACTGGCTCCAGCGTATTATAATAGGTACCTCCCCAGCTCGTTATGCCATATTGAAGTTTCGAGTAGACTAGAGCATAATAAATTTTTAAAAGCAGTTCAATTGAACAATAAATCTTTAAACAGTAGAATACACGAATACAATATAACATATAGTTGTGTATTTTGCTTAATATACATTTCCTTTTCAATCAATTGAAATATGTATGTATGTATGTATGTCTCCCTCAAAAATTTGGCTAATTTAAAAAAAAATCCCAAAACCAAATTATATTAAGGAAAGACTTATTACATATACTTACATATGTATGTATAATTTAGACGCAAAATATATTTTTCTAAAAAATAGTAAATATGGTTTTATTATTAAATTTTGAAATCTTTAATTTAAGATTTTATCTCCCACACATACATACATATATGTATGTACGTATATTTGTGCTCTGACTCATAAACTGCTATAACGAACTGTCTGTGTCTGACTCCACTGCTAGGGTGAACACAAGCAAACGTAGCTGTAAATTTTTTATTGAAACACAAATAAATTGAATGCAATTTCTTCATATATATTTTTCAAAGAGTGTTAAAGAGTGTTTTTACTTAATCATAAGAAATAATTTAGTCCGACTTGCTTTTCAGCAAGCCCAACATCTATAAAAGTTTACAATAAAGTGTTATATTCTATTATGGTGTTAGCAATTTGAATGTTGTCTTGAAATACTTGCCGGTATAGTTTGATGCAGCATTTTTCCTTAATGATATTGAATAAATAACAGTGTAGTCGTAAACAATTGATTAAAGTGGTTGTCGAAGTTGTTGTGCAGAAGTGCCTACATAATTAGAAACTTGATAAAAAATTTTATGATAACATAAGTACGTACATTGAAAGTTCTAACATTTATTATGTTATTACAACTTTAGAAATAAATATAAAAAATAAATGATATTGGAGTGTAAAATACAAATTCGTACAAATCAAACTTACATATTTTTTTTAAAATTATGATTACATACAACAATTTAAAAAGATTAATTATTTTATTGACTTTTACGATTCATCTAACCACCGAGGAGTTGTTGATTCAACATCTTGAGGATTTAATGTTGAATAATATTTTAAATTGTACATTTGAACATAATCGGAAAAATTTTTTGGATTTAGTATTTGATGTTTTCGTACTGGTAGTCTCGGCGATAATGATAACATACTTGCCCATTGTCCATCACATAGATCATCGTAACGTAATAGACCAACTTCATTTCCGCCTAAATCACCAGGACCACGGCACATTGGCTGACAATCCCATAGTTTTGTAACATGTTCTCGTATCCATCTTGCTAAATATAATGCACGGCAATCACAATGCCATGGATTTTTGTCCAATTTTACAGCTAACAAACTTGGTAAATTATCTAAAGTTCCTTGTGGAAGATATTGTAACTTATTAGAATCAATACGGCTAAAATGAAAATTTATGAAAAATAAAATTAACAAAATTTTAAATAATATAAAAAGAAAATTTTTAATATTTGAGAATTTTTTTAACGCACAGTTTTTCCAATTTAATTAAAGGCTGAAATGTATCAAAATCAAATTTTTTAAGGATGTTATTATTAAGCATCAGGTTTCTTAGCGACCTTAAACCCAAGAAATTATTACTATATAACGATGTTAAATTATTTGAGAATAGCATTAAACGTGATAAATTTTCTAAATTGAGAAAAAGTCCTTCTGAAATAGTCGATATTGTATTTTGACCCAAATAAAGCTCTCTAAGTTGCTTTAGATGAGAAAATGCTTCACCATGAATCTAAAATGTAAAAATGTTTTAAAAAATAATTTCATTTTAATTAAATATTATTATTATTTAGACTACCCTCGTTATTCTATTCAATGTTAAATCCAGAGAAAGTAAATTTTCCATATATTCAAATAATTCTTTTGTTATTACAGTTAAACGGTTATTATGAAGCGTTAATGATCTTAATGATATCAAATTTGAGAATACATCGTCTTTAATATTGTCTGCAAATAATTAGACTTATCAGTATAATAGTATAGTAATAATAATAGTAGTAGGTGGAATAAGGTTGTTTGACAGTAAGACATTATGCACATACAATATTTTTAACTTAACAATATGAATAAAAAACGGAAATATAGGTAACGTTGACGGTGTATATTGCGTGGCGATAATTGCAAACTTGTTTCTTACGTGTTTTCATATGTGTATTGCTATTTACAGAATTTTAGCACTGAATTTTCAATAGTTTTTATAATATTTGACCAAATATCTTTTGAAGTTGTTTGACATCTACCACAAGGAGCTAAGCAACTTGCTCAGGTTATAGTCCCAGTAATATACTTTGTGGAGTTGCATTTTGATACTATGCAGTTAACATAAGTTACGGAAAATAATGGTAATTTTACCATATTTGTTTTTACAAAATTGGTCGAAACTCCCTTTTGCTTTTTCTGGAAGGGACTGTGAGTATCTGTATTATGTACTATATGTAAAAGCAAAAAAAGCTGCCTTATTTATACTTAAATAAAATTTTCCAATACGTCTATTTCGTTCTCTAGAATAATTTTAATTTGTTTTAATATACAACATTGCATGAGCAAAGGGTTTAGAGTAAGTCTAATTATATGTATTTCTGCCTAATAACCTTGGTTGTTTTTAATGAAATCAAATTGCTTCAAAATTAATTTACAATATTTCTTTTTTATATGCTACTACCAAACATTTTCTTGTTTTCACTTACAGATTTGATTTTCAGCAAAATCTAAAACTTTTAACTCTTGTTGATGGTAGAAACTTCCACTTTCTAGAAACTGAATTTCATTACGTGACAAATCCAATTCTTCTAATTGTTTCTGATCATTTAACAATCCAATTGGAAATCTTTTGATTCGATTGTCTGACAAATTAATAACACGTAGTCTTTGCATATTATTAAAAACCTGTTCTGGTAGTTCTCTCAAAATATTTTTGCTCAAATCTAACAGGTTAAGATTTCTTAATTTCCAAAAAGTTCTAGGATCAATATCTTCCAAATGGTTGCTTTGTAATCGTCTAAAAAGTAACAAAAAAAAAGAAGAAACTACAGATAAAGTTAAATAAAACGAGTAAAATAAAACAGGACATTTAGCTGTAACTCTACTACAAGCCGCGGTATTTTTACGTTGGTATCTTGATGTGTGCAGGTAAGTTATCTACCTGCTTAAGAAATTTTAAATAAAAGAACCAACCTTCCCTTCAAATATTCTAAGTAAGTATGTCCTTCCTTCTTAAATTTAAAGGATATTATTGTAATATGTCTTATTTCATATATATTTTGATTATAGCACAATAAAGTTAGATCTAAGATAATAATAATAGCATAGTTTCAAAAAAAAAGGTTTACTGAATAAACTGATATTCTGCTAAATGCTGTTAAAAATTTTAAGACAGACGGAGTCATCTGTCTACCCAATTTTTCATTTGAACAAGTAAGTCCCTATTTTTTTATGCGTTTGTGAAATTTGAAAAATGCTTGTATGGTATAAGTATTATTTTAATTTGTAATGGGTTTGGATAAATTTAAGAGGGTTAAGATGTAAAAAGAAATTTTCTTCCAGTGAAATATGTTTAATTTCAAAGATCTGTTTGTATGTAAAGTATTCTATTCTAAATGGTTTATGAGTTTAGTAAAGAAACTCAATAGTGCACTAACGGACCGAAACTAAGAAACATGTAAAACAAACAAAAAGTTATTTTTTTCAAAAAAGTGCTATCTAATGTTGAGTCATATTGTATATGAATATCTCTGAAAACCTTTGTCGGAGATATTCAAATACAATAAAAAAAAATTATAACATCGATTTCATCAGTACCTCTCTATATTTTTTAAAACTACTTCTTAATTATTCTCTAGTTTAAAACAATATAATATGTTTTATTAGATGAAAATTACTATATTTACTTATATAGAGTGGTCTGCAACTGCAAGATAAAGATGTCGGGGGTGATTCCATGTTTTAGGAAAAAATATCAGACAGACGATATATGTGACATGAAAACGATGTATGAACAAGGTTGTAGAAGATGCTGAAGTGCAAAGTGAAAAATTAAACAAAAAAAATTGCGAACACTTGAAATATTTAACGTTTTTTTTGAAAAATTTTCAGTTTTTTATTTTTCAAAATTTCATGTTTAAGCAACTTACTTGAGAACGAAGTCTTAATCAAAAACTTAGACGTTGTTAAGGATATGTGGCATTCAGAATTTTTTTAATCTGATTTTCTTAAACCTTCAAAACTACCACTAGAGTTTCGAATTAACCGAAACACCCCCCTACACGAATAATTTTTTTCCTAAAAAAGAATCAACCCACGAGAGCTTTAACATCAATTTAGGACCACCCTCTATAACTTGCATTACAAAGCGTGAGTTCTGTTACTTATAATAAAAACCATTTATTTTAAAATTATAGCAATTTCTAAAGAAGAAATTTCAATTGTTTTTTAAACAAATTATTTTTGGACACTACTATTTCTATTTATTTAGTTATGTAAGTAGTTTACCAAAAATTTAAGATGCAAAACAGAAGTTAAAAAAAGTTATGCAAAGTAAAAAAAAGTCAAAAAATGTAGTTTTCATTTATTTTACTTTAAAAGAAATTCTATTCATGTTTTTCACTTCAAGTTGAACCCGAATAATAATAAAAAAATAATAAAATTTAATTTGCTTTGATTCAAGCATATGTTCAAAGTACTTGTATGTAGGTATGTAAATAATAAAGGTACCTGTGTATATTTAAGTGCAAACACTTATAATTACATTCGATTGGTCAATAAAAATTACATGTATGCTCTTAGGCATGGCGTTATGAATTTGATTAACTATTTATAACAAATTTTATTCCATAATAAAAACTTTAGTTATTAAAGAATTTTTAGATTTTATTGTTCTCGTATAGAAATGTTCGTGTATAGATTGTGCCAAATAATTGCATTGAATTCTTCATAGCACATTCATTTGCAAACCAATTAATCTAATTAAATGTTACTGAGAATTATTTAAGATACAATTAAATCGTTTTCTTATTTTAGTGCTATTTTGCCACAGTCAATCTTCCAGCAAATCCAATTGTGGCATAAGTTTATTATATCGCCTGTTAATTAAAGCAAAATTGGTGGTAATTTATTAGAAAAGACAGAACATTTAAAACACTGGTAGCTGGATCTTCAGAATGTTAAAAAAACTTCAAAAATTACTCAAAAACTCAAAATGATATTCTATAAATCACTTAAAAACTGATACAGAACTTGAGCGGATGATGAATGAATTATGGCAGATTATGGAATTAGTAATTTTGAGTGAAACATGAAATTCATTGCGCAAAAGTTCCACTTGTAAGTTGTAAGGGATTAAGCAGTTATTTATATTTTTCATGATGAAAAAAAAATTGTTATTTGGAATAACATATTAAGGCAGGTGCAAATTTTTCGTTTTAGAATATTTTCACTGCATCACCTTATTGTTGCATAGCATAATTATTTATAAACGATTGTACTAAATTTATATGAATGGACATCATAAGACACTCTTAAAGCATCAAACAAAAAAAATTCATAAAGATGTGGTCCGGTTATTAACCATATTTATTCAGTGTAATGTTTATAAGCAATTTATAAATTGTTCGTCTTTAAAGCATCAATTAAAGTTAAGTGCGTCATTCAGTTCTTTTCCTTTGGTTTGCGTGTTTTTTTTTTCATTTTATTACCATGAAGCACATAATGTACTTTCATTTTGTCTACATATATTCACCTGTAAGTTTGTTATGATAAACCAGTAAGAAATGTCAATAATAATAATAATAAAGGCAAAAACAAAGAAATGTAATGTTCGAATAAAAAATTTCACTCAACTGTTTCTTTCACAAATATTCACACTTATATATTATGTATATTCACATACACGATTTAAACACGCGTCAAATCTATTGTGTTAACCTTAGTTCAAAAGCAACCGTTCGTGTATAAACAACTCATTTTTTAATTTGTTAGAAAGTAAGAGAAACGTTCGAATATTCTGAAACAAGGACATAAGAGAAAATTTATAATTAATTTGATAATAATAATTTTAATTATAATTTTGATTATAATTAATTTGATATTAATTAATTTAATAATTTAAATATGTTAGAATTACCATCAATTTGCAAATTTGTTATTTGTATCCTGTATCCAATGGGATTAGAGTTAACACGTAATGAAAGAAATTTACCAACGACAAAAACAGTACATTTACCAACGGTAATAGCAAAAGAAATTCCAATGTTTAGTTTAATAAATAGATCACAACAATTTTCACAAAATTTAATTAATTCACCACAAAATTTAATAAAATTCAATAATTTAAATCAAAATCCAATACAATATCCAGTAAAAATTTATGGGCCAGGAACAGAATTAAAATTTCCACCATTTTTAGAAATTGTTTTACAACGTGTACAATCATATTTTTCAGTTTATAGATTTCCAGATAATAGTCGACCTGGAAATGCTCTAGTTAATGCTTTAAGTGCTAAACCTATACAACCGACAACAGCAGTAACAATGCCATCAACGAACAACATTATAACTTCGACTGCTAAACCAAATCCTATATCAGTGGCAGAAGATGACATTATAATAGGAGATGAAGCACCTACAACATCATTACAAGAATCTAATGCTGATGAATCAGAATTAATTATATCGAATAGTATTGGAACTATATCCAACAATGATGAAAATAAAAATGAATCAGAGAATAATACCAAATATGATTCAGCGAATGAAAATGATGTGATTATAATTGGTGATGATGATAGTGAAGACAATACACCAGGATTTGTATTGAGAAAAAATACAAAATTTAAATAGTCCACTTTGTTTTTAATTGTAGTTTTAGTGAAAATTTCATAAATAGTTTTTGTAGAAATTATTTTTTTGCACTTATAATCCATGTAATTTATTTTAGATGAGTAGACGCTAAATAAAGTTAACATTTAAGTTCATATCATATTACTTTTTTGTTGAACGTGAAAAACAGAATTCTATACTCTAGCTTAAGTTTCATGTATTTAATTTTTTTGATAGTTTTCTATAACATTTTTAACTTTCAAGTACATTTTAATATTGATGTAAGGATTTCCAAAATTTACGTGTAAGTTGTGTATTTCAAAAATTTATAGATTAAATTAAACAGTTGATATTATAAAACTGATTATAATATTGTGAGTGCATTAGAAATTCAAAAACGTTCTAAATATAGTTTATAAAAAATATAAAAAATGTGAAAAATTTATTTACATCGTATTAGCTATTTCTAATTAACATATAGTTCTAGAAAAGATAATAAAATACGCCACATATAACAATATTAATGACTGTTAGTTGTACTCGTATTGTGATCGTAATATTATTTGGAATTCAAAAGACAGCTTTAATTAAAATGTGCCAAAAGCTATCTAGTTTAGTATAAAATTGGTGGTACTTAGTAATTTCGCTTAAATTTAGGTAGAAGATTTAATGTAATTTTTGGAAAAAATGAAATTGCTATAATTGTAACCTATAGTTCATAAAATTTATAAACTATTATAACACCTCGATTTTGTCCTTATTGTGCAGAATTATTGTTGCCGCAAAGAAGTTAAATTATTAAGAATGATATCGTTATTTCTTAACTTTCCCTTCGTATTCATGCGGTAAATTTCATACAAAACTAGAATTCAAACAAATTTCATATGTACAATAAATTATTTCGGAAGTAGATTTTGACTTGACCCTCAAGGAAAGCTTACTCCAAATAATTTTACATAAAAAATAAACAAAAGATAGAATAGAAATTCGTCAAATTTGAAAAAAATTAAGGTCTAAAACTAAGCCCTTACGGTTTTTACGGTTTTCAACTAATACAAACTTTGGCTGATAAAAATTTTCGTGAGAAAAGGAGTTTAAATTCTTTCGTAAGAAAAATAGTTTTACATTTTTGAGTTGATTAACTTTGTGCGTTGACTTATATTTGCTAGCTAAGCTTATTAAAACAAATTAAGTTTTTGGAAAATTAATAGCAATATTATATATGAAAATGTCGAAAATTACAAAAATTTAGTTAAAATATATTCAATTAAAATATTTAAATTTAAAACACATGTTAAAATTGCATATAAAATTTTTAAACAAATTAAACGAGCAAAAAAACATTGAATTTTCTAGTTACTTTAATTACAATTAAACGTTATCTGAATGGAACTATGCAAAATGGAATTATCCTTGATAACTATATTTGAATTAATTCTTAATCAAATTTAATATGAGAAATTTTTATGTAGGGGATTGGAAGAATAAATTTAATCTTCCCCAAAAGAACAATATTTTAAATTTTAATTGTATATTTAGATTTTGTATGGAAAACAAGTTCAATAAGGAATTAGGAGCAAAAGGTTTATGTGTTATTAACGACTAAACGTAAGCGTAAAATAGAATTTGAATTTAATTCAGTAAATTATATTGGATATAAAAACATTTTTAGAAATAGAGCAATATCAAACAATTAATGAAATTTGTTTTATCAAAATGATATTTTAGTTTTTACTTACAATTGAACAAGACTGTCCAAGTCTCTGAATAAATCAAATGGTAAAAAATCCAAATTATTATTAGATAAATGTAACTCTAAAAGCAAAGTTAAGCCACGGAATGTGTCCTTATGTAATGTTGATAATAAATTCCTTGATAAATCACTATAAATTATTATAAATTTTAATTTTTAATATAGTTAAGATTTTTAGTAGCATTTTCATTGAATTTTAACTACATTAATTATTTTCTAATTTAAGAAATAATCTGTTTTTTTTAAGTATAAATTGAACTTACATATAAACCATATTCATTGGTATTACTTGTGTTATTGGTACTGAAATTAAATTTAAATTCCAACAAGTGAATGTTTTTGTATCTGGATTACAACGGCATACACCAGCTGTACAATGATTCCATTCTTCTTGACTGCCAGTTGTTAATTTCCAAACAGGTTGTTCAACTGCTCTTAAACGACTTTCAATTTGGCGAACTTTCTTTTGTAATTCAAATTCTAATGTAAATGGATCAATTTTTCCTAAATAACTTGTTGTTGGTGTTGGACTCGGTGTTGAGTCTTGTGGACGTAATTTTTGTCCAGATTTTGTCAATAAAAAATATTGTGACATAACTTTAATAGCTTCACATGCATTTATTGGACAATTTTCCGTATCAGCCAATATTCGTGGTAGTGGATGTTTTTTCTTATATAAATCAATATCTTCACAATTAATCAAAGATTTATTGACAAAAATATGTAAAAGGGTAGTTATTAAAATTATTTTAAACATATTTGCATATTTTTTCTCCTTATTATTTTTAAAGTAAAAATTGAAAATTTTATTATTTTATTTATTAGTTGTTTTATGTTTCAATATAAAAATTCAACTAAAACAAATTTTAAAATTATAGAATGAAATTAAAAAATTATTATTATTGCATATACTAGATTTATTGTACGTGTCTTTTTTCTGCCTTATAAAAGCTTTGGTTGCAATTGCTATGATACATCCTTATTAAAACTCAGTTGGTTACTAAATAGATTTTTAAAACATTGTTATATTTCACATAACATTTTGCGCCAACCAAGCTTAAATTCTATGAGAAGTAGCAAAACTCTTGTTATTTGTACGTAAGGTGTGCGTATACTCATGATGTATTATTAAAATTGAGTTCTAGGTAACCCAGAATGAACTCATGAACTTGGTTATCTCTTCTCTTCTCTTTTTAAATAATACTCATATATGTATATTATGTTGTTCTACATTTTGTTATAATATTTGAAAGATCTGATTGAATTTGAATAGCGTGCACTTGTCGGTTTATTTTTCTCTTATTAAAAAATTGGATTACGAAAAGGGAATGCGACCTTGATCTTTATTTTATAAATGAAAACGAGAGTCAAGAGGGTAAAACTCTTTTATTGTTTTATATGTAGGTACATTCATTGACCAGATTTAATTGAAATATTCGCATCGTACAAATTTTATAAAAAAAACAAAATAATAAAATTAAACCTGTTGCAATAAAGAGAAAAAAAATTATACTGCAAAATAAAGCATGGAGTGTAGGTGCTTGAAAAAGTTTAATTGATTAGCGCATTAACACAGAAAATTGCAATTGTAAAAAAATTGCTTTAGAACTAACGTATATATGGATTAATTTATTGAAAAAATTATGTTAGTTTTATAATAATGTAGTCAAAGTTAACCAATAGCTATTTAATTTACGAGTATTAGGAATTTTTATTGTTAAATTTCTTATTCTTCAAACTTTTCGAAACTGAAACTAATTTAGCAAAAATTAATTTAGTTTAGCTTCTTCGCAATTCTTTAACCAAATACCATTGGTAAAAGTAGGTATTTGTTTGAGAAACCCATAATACATTTGAAATCTTTGGGGAATTGGTCATAAATTTTGTAAATATAGACAAAGTATACAATAATCCGAAAAATAGGCAGTTGTAATGATGAAATGTATTTTGTACATTCCTACGAGTATTTGTTGCTATGAATCATTCGGCATATTCATCTGGTAAATATTGAAGCATTCAATTCAAAAATGTTTACACGTAATGTTTTAACGTTACACTTTAATCGCAGATGTAAGATCTTTTAGATAATTTTGGGTTTAGTTTAAAGGTTTAACTAAAAGAAATTTTAAGCTCAGTTTTCTCTAAAAACATAAAAAATATTTTTTTACGTACATAACGCACATGATTTTTATTCAATTTTTCAAATATCACATATTTACTAACGTTAGGGTTACCAAATACCACTTTATTAAAAAGCATTAGTATAAAACTTTTTAAATACAATTTTTTAAAAAATTTTCTTGTAAATTAAGTGTTGATGTTTTGATACTTTCAATAGTAATTAAGTGTAGGTGGCGGTGGTGGTGGAGGAGGAGGTGGAGGTGGGGGTGGAGATGGAGGAGGAGCTGGTGGCGGAACTGGTGGTGGTACCAGAGGCCGAACTGGTGGTCACACTGTGGGTGGTGGTGGTGATGTAGGTGACGTCGTAGCTGTCGTTGTTGGTGACGGTGGTGTTCCAGTTGGTGATGTTGTAGCTGGCGGACTTGGCGCTGGAGATGGTGAAGGTACTAAAATAATATTGATGACTTCTGGTGCTGGAGTACCCTTATACATAAAGAATCGTCCTTGTATACGTTCAGCTAAAAAATATTATTAAGTAAATTAAGTGTTGATGTTTTGATACATTAATGTCAAGTGAAATCAACCTCCCAATTATATAGCAATATTTTCTTTTCATGCAAAAAGGAAAAGTTGGTCAACATGTTGTTGTGTGGGAATAAATGTTTTAAAAAAAAAATCGTCATATACTCATATATTTCACTTTTCATTTAAATGCTTTACTATTTCTGCGTTTTATCTACCCTGTTCAAGCTACTCAGTAGCAAAAATTGAGCACGACTACACCTCGCACAGACTCGTAGAGTCGTAGATGATCAATGCAGTTACGTTATTTTATTCAGACAGATGAAAATAGTATTTTTAATTTACAACAAAATTTGGATCGTGTGCGTTCGGAGTTATTTTGACATTGAATTAATATTTATATAATTTGTATATTGAATTAATATTTGATATACACTTCTTTTTATTATATTGACAAGCAACAAAAAAACAAAAATTTATAAGATTTAGAAGTGGTAATGACAAAAAAATTAAAGTTATGGTACACTTATACCGAAAAAGACCGTGTCATTGGCAAACAAAAAAATATGGAACGCAATTGCTTAATTTCTGCAAAAGCATAACATAGGTACTTTATAATTTTAATTTCTTTTTCATTTGCTGAATGATCTAGTTTCTCTTAAATAAAGCTAGGTCAAATCAATTGTTTGTAAAGTAGCAATTTTGCCTTGAACAAGTAAAAAAATTGCTTTTAAAAACAACATCCTACATTATTGAAATTACTTCCATTCATACATCGAAAAATTTTAAAGAATGCATATATTTAGGTTGATTCAAAAAATAATAATTGAAAAAGTGTTAACATAAAGCCCGAATTGAAAGAGTAATAGTGTGAGTTAAGAAAATTTTGTTTTTTATGTCATGCTTTCCGGTTAGCTTTCTGCATTTGTTGGAATTTGGAAAAACTTGCAGTTTTGGAAATATAGGGTGCCAAGAATTGAAATTTTGCTGATTTCGAGAGGGGATAACTTGAGATGGGATGGAAATGGAAAAAAATTTTCTTCTTACGAACTAAGTTTTTTATTAATATGTAAAAGCTGGTAAATTCCAGATTCCTTTAATTTATTGTGTGGAAGAAAAACGATATAAAAAATTTGTCTTTTTAAAATTCAATTATACATATTGTGCTGCGGTGGAAGAAACCAGCCAACAATTTTTTGCGCTTGAAAAATTTATGGTTTCTTTGAAATAAATGGTCAAAATATGGCATTTTTCAGGATTTTGGAATAAGTTTCTAGTAAAGGTCAGTATACATATGAAATTTGAACTTTAAATTAGGGGTGTAGAAGTTTTGTAAACATGTCCACGGATGGACGGTCGGCGGACGAGCGAAGTGAAACTAATAACCACTTTTTTCAGTTGTCATCTAGTGGTCTACAAGTATTTCTCAAACAATAACCATATAATTAATGCACTTTAAATTTTTACTTTCCTTTCATTGAACTTGAATTATAAAAATATGATGATAAAGTAAAAAAATCTTTTTTTAACACAAAAATTTGCAAGATAAGTTTTTTATTTGACAATAATAAAAAATAAGAGGATTGGCAATTACTGGTAACGTATAAATTAATTGGTCCGGATGTATACTAAAATTTATGACGTATAAATTGATTTGATCGATAGGACAATATGAGATATGAAAAAAGTGCTGTACTGAATTTCAATGGCAAACAAAATAATAGCGGGCGAAAGCTTTTTTATATTCAATTTTCTATCTGTAAGAAAAGAAAGGAAACAACAGTTTTGAAGCGAATATTTTCTTTCAGGAACTTTTGCTGGTGTACTTTGTATACCTGGTATGCTGCAGTAACTTATCGAATTTTATTTAGAGAATCGAAACCTACTTAAAAATAGTTGATTAAACTTAAAAAATATAATGTTTTGCTACTATCATGTAATTGATATCTGCATAATTGAATTTAAATATTCAATTATGAAAATATTTAAAGTTCATATATACAGCGTCGGATCTGCCATATATGTAAAGTAAGCATTTGGAAATTAATTTCACAATGTGTACCTCTACAGGGTGACATCTTAGTAGTAAAATATCTCGGGGCCAGAAAGTTGGGACAATTTCATAAAAAAAATTGCTTCCGGTGAGGAGGAGGGGCCACAAATGAATATTCAAAGTGCAAAAGAAAAAGTTGTGTTGACTTAAATGGCTAACTTCCATAATTATTAACCAATTTAAAACAATTGGTTTGCAATCGAAAGCCGAAAATTAGTACATTATTTAAAACAGTGTGTCATTTGGTAAAAAAAAACAAATTTTTCACAAAGTCACCAATTACTTACAAGTTTACCCTGCTTAATTTCTTTTTTTCATAGTTTGAAAGAAAATTTTAATTGTATAATTAATTTCTGTTGCATGAATAATTTTATTTTAGTACTTTAACAGAATAATTAATTCTAAAGAATATAATAATATACGATAATAAAGTTAGTCCTTATTTTAGAAATTTTAATCAATTTCCTTTAAAAATTCTAATTTTTTCAAACACAGGGTTTTTTGCAAGTAAAAAAACTTGGACCAGCAGAAATTTCTTGAAAATTTGTTGAAATCCCTGTAAAAGTTTTGCCCATATTCGACCTTCCAACCAATGGTTTATATTGTTGTATACCTTTCTGAATCATCCTGTATAATATCTTTTTATAAGTACAGTCATGTTACTATAGAAATATGAAAATTTCATAAAAAATTTGAATACGAAATTCTTCGACTTAATTTTCTTATTCTATATACATACTATAAAAATGTAGTTCTGTGTTTCCTTCAATTCGTAGAGCAGAATGAAATGTACAGTTAACGTTTATATTTCTAATTCTACAAACAACAAAAGTGGATAATTTTATGTATTGCAAATATGTATGAATTTTTTGTCTTACAAAAATGTCTAGGAGAAGAGATAGAAGTCATTTGTTTATTAAAATTCTACATTACCTACATATTTCAAACAGCGACAAACATTAATGAAATTTAACATAATTTAAGAAATTTCAAAAAAGTTATGCACTTAATTACAAGTTTTAAAATCAATTGCAAAAAGAATGCAAGAGAATATTATAAGAAAGTAATAAAAATTACTAAATGTATCTACATGCACACATACGAGTATGTGCTGCATACATATATATATAAATATATGTGTATAAGTTCGTATGATTGCATGAATATGTATGTATATATAATATGTAGATAATTATCGGAAAAAATAAAATATCTTGTAATTTTGATATTGAAGTGGAAAAATGTTTGATAAAACTACTTTGATAAAATTAAAAATTAGAACCGAACAGAATAGCATACATTTCGACTTTATTGTAGAAAACGCCAGAAAATTTGGATTTCGTTACGTTCTATATGTACGTTATTTTTGTTTCTTTTTTAAATCAAGTTTAGCGTTGGTAACTCTGTTGTTTTAGTTCTCCACGAGATACTTCTGAGGTGTTTTAGCCATTTTAAACCTTGCGGGTTGATTTCTAGATTTATTCGTGAAAATTGTTTGTTTTTTGTCAAATAGATGTGCTCTCATCGATTTTGTTAATTTATTTTATTATCCAACAAAATTAAAATATCACTGCGTCAGTTAAACGTCACTTTTGTCTTTAATCTGAAAAACAGGATTGGAGTGATCGAAGAACAACGAACAAACTGATATAACCCACAGAGTAATTTTCGAAACAGTGAAATTCGATATGAAAACAATGCCGTCCTTATTTTAAGTAATTTGGTCGGTAAAAATACTTTTTATTGTTTTTTCTTTCAATTGTTTAAAATTTTTTATCGAATTTTTAAGAAATCAATTTTTTATTTTTTGAATTTCTTTAGTAATTAACGCGATATCGAACTATTATTAACGTATAATTATTCATTATTTTTACTTTTATCCGAAATATTACACATAAAGTAACGAATTCGTTATCGGGTTGTACTTTAAATTTCTTTGTTGGAGCATTATTTGATTAAAAATTTTTTGAAGAAGATCTTTAGTTACGAAAGAAAATATTCATGAAATCAACGCAAATCTTAAAACTTATAGTACTTCTATTGCTACAAATTTTATTAATAAGGATTAAAAATGTGACACCTCAAGGTATTTATTATACGTTTCTGCAAATTAAGAGAAAATAATAAATAAAGAAATTGCGTTTTAAATTTGTAAATTTTTTTACTTTGAATTGGCTATGTAAGTGCGTAATGTTTGCGGTCCTTTTTAGGGACATTTCAAGTTCATAAGCAATCATACACATTTGTTAGAAGATAGATGGCTTTATATTTTTTATGTGGAAATTAAATGACAATTCCTTGATATTTAGTTTTTAGGTTATAGTTGTTACTATTAAATTAAAGAGTTGTTCAGCCTTACATGAAGCGTGAAAATCGATTTAACTTTACGTCAATTTTTAAAATAACAGACCTCAAGTCAAACTTTTTTAGCCCCTAAATAAAAACTCGAATCAAATCATTTATATTTAATTTGAACAAAGCACATGTTCACATTTTTAATTTTCATTTCAAATTTTTCAACCAATTTTTTAGTTATTTATTAATTTTTTTTTTATATCTAATTTCGATTTCTATCGTTAATCTTACTTAAACAACTTATAATTTTAATAATTTCCAAAATGTGTCATTATTGAAATTCGCAAAGTTTAAGAATTCGTGCGCATAATTGATTGATTTTATTGTCTCAAAAAGGACAGAGTGCACCAGTTAGAAAATTTCCCTTATTTTTGAAAAAAATACTCCGGAAATGAGGTTCCGATGTAATTCTTAATAATAATAGAAAAAGACATTGATAGAAGCTAAATTTTTTTTGGGAAAAAAAATTGAGAAAAATTCAAAAACATGACAAGGGGTCTACGAGGGGGGAAAGTTTGGGAACCTCTGATTTATACCATTTAAAATAGAAACAAAAGTTTTGTAAGTTTTTGGCAAACTATTATGTTTAAGCCAAGGTTAATTTATAAATTAAGTAAACGCAAAAAAAAATACAAAGAAATGTCAAACTATTGAATTGAAACTTCAAACTAACCATTATTTCTATAATTTTCGGAGTAACTTTTCTCCTACATGGAAACTTAAATATCCCATATCTGTTTAAATATTGATAAATATTTGATTTTACTACAAACACGATTCTGTATCTCTAAATTATTTTATTTAAAATAATAGAAAATAGAAAGAAAAAAATAAATTAGTGTTTGTGATTATGTCCTTTGTTATATTTAAATGAAGGACGTTCATTATAATTAGTTAAGTTAAATTAATTTTTTTAAACAAGAGTTAAGCATTATCAAAATTTAAGATCTGATTGATTATATTCTTAATTTTTATCATGAACATCACTAATTTAATAAAATAAAGCCTTTTAAAGCCTGTTAAAATTGACATCTGTTTAAATACAGAAACACATTTCAACAGGACTTAGTTTTTTAAAATTCAGGGATACAGATGTGATAAAGCAAATCGCCTGGAAAACAACTCGAAGGGTGGATCTACTTTAGATTATCAAATTAATCATAGACTATCAAAAAGAGAAAAATATTGAGGGAAAACGCCTGCAAGTTGTCACAATGAAAATTAAAATGTAAAGCAAAGAATTCAGAATTTTTGCAATCTATTGCTCACCGAATCTTCAAATCTAATGTGAAGAATATAGTAGGTTACTAAAAGAAACTGGAAACAACTTTATTATGGGTGGAGACTTTAAACCTATAAAGTTGGGTCAAACCAATGGTTTGTATTGTAGCACTTTTCCTTTCAACAAGTGAAAATACTGCTTTTAAAAACAGTCTATGTATGTCCACCACACTATTAAAATTATTTTCATTCATATATGAAACTATTTCTAGGATTGCATATATTTAGGATGAACGATTTATGCAGTCTTTGAAATAAAGCAAAAATTAATATAAAGAGGGGTTAACATAATGCTCGATTTTAAGGGTTAATTGTGTGAGTTAAGAAAAAAAAAATTATATTTTTTAATGTCATGGAATTTACCGTTAGCTTTTTGCGTTTATAAAAATGTGAAAAAGCTTGCGGTTTCGGAAATATAACGCGTCAAAAATTCAAATTTTATAAATTTCAACAGGCGATAACTTGAGAGGGGGTGGAGATGGAAAAAAATTTTCTTCTAACGAAATAAAGTATTTATTAGTGTCTAAAAGCTGCTGAAATTTCACGGTCCTAAAACCTGGGGTCTAGAAGAAAAATTACATCAAAAATTTGGAAAAAACGGATTTTATATAACGGTAAATTTAAACGGCCATTTTGTTTTTCTAAAGTTTAACTATAGTATACCGCGCTAGGGGAAGCAAGCCACTGCCTTTCTGCTTTTGCAAAATTTGAAAGTGCTTATGGTTTCACTGCACTAAATAGGTATGGCATTTTTAGAGTTTTGGGGGGGTATAACTTCTAGAGGGGGGGAGATAGGTAAAAATTATGTTCTACGGAAATAAGTTTCTAGGAACGATCTATGTATGTATGAAATTTCAGTTTTCTATCTTCAAGGGTGTAGAAGTTTTGTAAACAGGCACACGGACAGACGGACGGACGGACGGACAGAGTGAAACTAATAGGCACTTTTTTTCAAAAATTTTTTGGAAAAGTGCTAAAAAGTATGTTTTGGGGTTCAAGAATCACGTCTTCTAAAGGTAAGGCTCTTTATAAAGCTGCAACTGAACTCGTTTCATTAAACGTGAAAACCAACCTACAGGCCTTTAGATTCTAACAGAGCTCTTGATTTATTGGATTTTTTCATTACAAAATGAGTTTCTGATAATTATATACATATGAGCGAAGGTTTTGATTTTAATTTCGAACACTCCCCGGTCATCATGATATTTAGTGAGTCGTGACATCATCATAACATACGGAAACAAACTTCACCTAGATTAGTTGGCAACAATATGAACTGGAAATGGTTCAAAAGACTCTTGACAAACTCAATAGATCTGCGCACGTCTTTAAGGTCTCCGTACGAGCTGTAGCACCAGGTCCAGACCTATATTGAGAATATACAAGAAACTGTCTGGGCCAGTGCAAAAGGGAAAACAACAAATAAGCAAGATTACTACTTGATTTATCTAATTGAAATCAGAAACCTGATAAAGGATAAGAGAAAAACTCGAAAAATCAGCCCATTTCTTTGCAAATTTTTTGACAATAATGTCAAAACTTTATACAAGATTGCTGTTACATAAACTAGAACCAATATTTGAAGAGAAAAAAATGATCCCAAATCATCAGTTCGGTTTCAGATGCAGAAATTCTACTACAGATCAAGTTTATAGAATAACCAACGTTATTGAGAAATCTTTGAAGGAAAAACAAATATTTTCAGCGGTGTTTTTAGATGTATCAATACATGTATTGCATGTATGTTTGATAAAGTTTGGCACGAAGGCCTAATTTATAAAATCAAAAGATATATACATACCAAACACGTTCGATAAGCTGTTAAGCTCCTACCTGACTGGCAGATTTTTTCGAGTCAAAATTAAAGTGAATACTCAGAACTAAAGGAATTGCTATATACAAGTGGCATACCCGTAAATGGTGGAACAACCATGGCAACCTTTTCAGATGATACTGCCATTTTATCTGAAGGACATAGCGTAGTAGAATGTAATGAGAAACTACAAAGATCAATAGACTTGATTAACAGCTGGACAAATAGATGGAGGATCAAACTGAATGAGGCAAAATCTGTCCAAGTGGATTTCACGCATAAAAAAATAAGTGCGTCCAATAATATTTATTTAAATAATCAACAAGCACGATATGCTAATGAAGCCAAGTATTAAGACATGTATCTGGCTGCTAAACTTAGGTGGAAGGTACATGTTAAGAAGAAAAAACAGGAATTAAACATGTTACTGCAGATTATAAAACCAGTGTGTCTATATCGCCCAGATCTGACTATGTACATAGATACAGAAACATAGATACAGAATTGAAGATCATGAAAATGTTGAAAGAAATGCTGCAACTTCTCGACAATCCTGAGGCGACACGTAAGGGGCTGAAAAGAGCTAGGTCTCTTGATGTGATAACAAGTCCATCTAACCTAAAATAAAAAGAATATTTCCTTGGGGGATGTCACTGAATGTCTAGCCAACACACCATGAAAAGTGATAAAAAAATTGCAAGGTAGGCTGTCATTAGGTTTAATTGTAATAAATAATTGGAAGAAAAAAATAAAAAAAAATTTAATTGCCGCTCCTTTTTGCAAAATTTATGCAATTAGTGAAGTATATCTTTTGTGATTAAATATACGTGAGTTTGTATATGTATGTATGTGTTCGTATATGTGACCGATAAGATATATTGAAAGATAAGAAATTTAAAAGAAAACTTCGATATGAGAACAAAAATTAATTGTTATCTAAAACAGCTACTCTTTTATTACGTCAAATCTAATAATAGATCGTAATTTTTAACAATTACCTATTATTGTCTTAAATTTGTCGCATTACGTATTTCAGCTAAATTATATACAAAAATAATACATAGTACACAAAGATTTAGTATGAGTATGAGAACATGCCTATGAGTATGAAAAATATTCACCAGAGATGGAGATGAAAAACTTCCTCTGTACTTATACATACAAATTTGCACTCTTTCTAAATTTTAGCCTGTTCAGTATTTCGTTTATTTAAAAAACTAATTGTTTGAAATGTTGAACATTTTAAAAATTGTGCCTTAAAATGTGGTTCTAAAGTTCTGATCTATTCTTGAATCATCACAAAACTTACAAGGGTTATTTGAATTTTGCACTCTTTTGAATTTGAAACATTGCTTTCTATGAACTTTGTTCTGCTTTGAAGTATAATAAGAGTTTTTGTATATGCCCTTTAGTTGGGACTAGAAAAATAATTTGTATTCCGATTTTCGCAAGCAAATAGGTTTTAAAAAAAAAGCTTATAATAATATATAGATTCAATTTATTATTATAAAAAATTAAAATTACAAACTAAAATCGGTTTGTTTTTTACACTCCAAACTCCAGATTGTTATTTACACCACAGATTGCTATTAATAGTTTGAAAAATTTTGTCTTTTTAGAAATTTGTCCAAGAGAAGGGTTAGAATGTGATATTTCACAGAAAGTCAAATTTTGTCAGCTACCAGATGAAGTCCCACTCGATAAGGATGGCGACATAATAGCATTTAAAATGAATAACTTTATGAGTTTGAAAAAGATTCTCACAATAGGCTTAAATAATAACAACAAGTTGTATGTAAATGGATTGTATGATGACGATAAAAAGGAATTCAAATTGTTTACAACAGATGCTTATAAGAACTATACGCTGACTGAAACACAAACAGATTTTTCATTAAAAGCTTATTTTATGTGTGACGGGAATGGAATTGCATTTGAGTCAATATATGTAAAAATACAGAATTTTAAATGAAAATTAATATCAATTAACATTTTTATTAAATCTTTGTAGACGTTCAATGTAAAAATTAGCCAAACAAATCTTTTTCCGCCGCAATTTTCACAAGAGGAATATGAAAAACAAATTTCTTTACCATTAATCAAAGGTTTTGGTTGCATTTTTTCGAAGGTATGAATGGAATATGCGCACAAACATCAAATACATATTTCGTGTTTATTACTGCTATTTAATACTCGTATTATTGAAAGAATGCATGTATACTTATTTCTGTTTTAGGTTGTAAAAGCAACTGATCATGATATTAAATATAATAAAATCACGTTCTCGTCAGATAATGAATATTTGGAAGTAGGCACAGAAGTGGAAACGGCTGATAATGGTCATACATATTTTGCTGCAATCAGTATAAAAAAAGCTATTACAGAAATTAATGAAACATTTGTCATAGAAATTGAAGCAAAGGTAAGTTTGTAATTTTTGAAGCTTGTGAGTCCACGTTAATATTTTCTATTGTAATTGCACTATAATTGACCCCATATACACTTGGCTGCATTGTTAACTGTTAAACAAACATTGTTAACAAATTTTGCCCTTAGTTAGCAGCGACTTACATATATAAAGTTCTCAATATATGTATCCATAATTAAAATAATATTTATAACATCAAATCTGGCAAAATTGTTTTTTCCTTTAGCTTAAAACGGGGTGCAAAGGCCTTTGTCCCTTTGTCCCTAGTGCTAATAGATGTTACTAACTTTGTCCCTAGTGCTAATAGATGTTACTAATGAAAAACTTAAAAAAAGCGTTTTGGTTATTTTTGAAAATTGGTTCTGCGATGTTGTATAGCACCCGGATATGTCAGGAAGGTTTTTAAAAATAAGTGAATGAAAAATATTAAATTGTTCAAAAAGCCAAATCGATACCCATATGATTAATTAAGTTTTTGTTTTCGTTTATTTACGTGGTTTTTTCTTTTTATAATTGTAGGATAATGGCAATCCCCCGTTGTCATCAAAAACTAAATTAAAATTAATTGCTGACAAACAAAAAAGTTTACCAATGCAACCACGTTTTACGAATGCAATTTATGAAGCAAATCTAACGAAACCAGAAGAATTACAAATTAATGCTGAATTAGATTTAACTACATATGATGAAGCAATTGTATTTAATGTTACTGATCGTGACTCTGAGCTTTTTACTATTAATAGAGAGTCTAACAAAATAAATATTCGATTAAAAGATAATAAAGTCGATGATGAATATGTTAAAGAAAGATCATATTTATCTTTCATACTTAACGCACACAATCCCAAATTACAAATTCCAGGACAAACAGCCATTGTTGTTGGAATACCAAAAAATGCGGAAGATATAAAAAAAATATATTTTGAAAAAGATCTTTACAGAGGAGAAATTAATGCAGACAATGAATTAGAAATTGAATTTATAAAATTAATAGATGAAGCAAATACTGAAAATATTCAATATAGTTTTGAAATACAGGGTGATGATATGAAATTGTTTGAATATAAATTGGTGATTATGAATGAATTAAAGTTAATTTTAAAAGATGATGCAAATTGGGATGGTAAATATTACCTCCATATCAGTATATTAGCCAAAATGAATGAAATTGTAAAATCATCCACAAATGTTATAATTGATGTGCCAGTTAATAAAAAAGGTTGGTTTAAAAACTTTTTCACTCTATTAATGCTTCTTCAATATTGTTCCTTTGAATTGCAAGTTGCAAGTTTTGAAGTTAAACTTGCTTTAACTAACTTTATTGTTTTTTTGTTATTCTTTCACTTTTCTATATGCTGGTAACTTAAAGTTTTGTACTCAATTAAAGCGATACAACAAATGTGATATTTATGCTAATTTAAAGTGATAATGGCAATATTATTGGAGCACTAAAAGTTATATTATAGTTCCATATAAATATTCCATAAATATTTTCTTTTAAGATTTCAGATTCGAGAAACCATTATTTGAAGGTCAAATAAATCAAACAAATCAATTGGAAAAACTTCAAATTAAATTTGTCGACAATGAGAATTTAAATGAAATTTTTTTTCAAATATTAGGCGAAAATTCAAAATATTTTACAATAGAAATTTTTGAAAATTTTGCTGAACTGAAATTAAAAGAATCTGAATTACCAGCAGAATGGTCTAAAAAAAAATTTTTATCATTTCAAATTGAAGCACGTAAGCACAGTTATGATGCAATTTACTGTGGCATTTTGGTAAATTTACCAAATAAATTACAATTGCCACAATTTCCTGAGATATTATATAAAGGAAAAATCATATCAAAAAAAGAAATTGAGGAACTAGAAATTCCTGTACATAATTTAGGATCAAGATTTGGTTTATCTGGTCATAATAGTTTTACAATTGATCAACGTGATGGTATTATTAAAATTATGTTAGCTGGTGAACTAAGTGATGAGGATTTACAATTAAATTACATTGCATTAACTTTAACAGCAATTTTTGATGAGATCGATGGTGGTAAAAGTTCAACAACTATTATTTTATCAACACCACCTTTAAAATTACCACCCGAAACATCAACTTCAAAACCAACAACCACATCAACAACTGACGGTTCTACTGCTGCTACTACTACTACTACAGAAAATCCGGAACCTGAAAACGTACCAAAGTTCGAGAAAAGTACATATAGGTTTTCAATAAAAGCAGATTTTGTTGGAATTTTTGGATCGGTCAAAGCATTACTTGAAGAGGAATCTTCAACAATAATTGAATATTCAACAGCTAATGTAGACGGTTAGTATTTGAGTATTAAACCAAACAGAAAAAATATTTAGAAATTAGTCAACTACGTTATATCTTAGTTAAACGACTTTTGATATGTTGCCATTCTAAAAGTTAATCCCTAATACCCTTAATTACAAACTTTCCCCCTCTGTCTTATTGAAGGGAGGAAGTTATCTCTATTGATTTTCAGGAAAAAGTGGATGAAGTTTTATAAGGTCTCAACCTGTTACCTAACATAAAACTATAAACTGATGCGATCAAAAGCAAATGTGTCGAAGCACAATTTTATTTCTGATAAGAGAACAAAAATATTTGATTTTAATTTATTTTAGATGAACTTAAAACTAGATTGCTTTTGTATGATGATGGTCGTTTAGGAGTAAGTTCCACAACACCTCCAGGAACTTATGTTTTTGAAGTAAGGGCAAATGTTATCGGCAATCGAAAATATGTAAATACATTTGTTATACTTGATATATCACCGATAAAAGTTTGTGGTGATGAAGGAGCAAAAGTAGAAAATGCGCTCTTAATTAAACGTTTAGAAGAAGAAAGAGCTCACAAAGGCATAATAAAAGCTGTAATAGGAAATTGCCATTATAAAATAATGAGTATTAGTCCAAATGACAAAGGTGAGCAACATTTAAAGCTAAATAACAAAGAACTCATAATAATGATATTAATTTTAAAATTTTATATTTTAGAATACTTTAAAATAAATGATAACGATTTGGATTTAATATCAGTTGATAGGGAAGATCCAATATTTTCAGATATGTTAATAGCACAAATTCAAGTAAAATTAATATTATTTGATAGTTCAATACCAATAAAAGAAAGTTTAACAACTGAATCAGATACAGAAATAAACAGTTCTGAATCTATCACTGAAAATATAATTCCAACTTTTGATACAACTACGGAAATTGAAAAAATTGAAGATATAACTAAATTAATTATTGAAACTACTAAAAATATAAAATATACTTCAAAATTTTCTGAAGCAACAACTACAATACCCATAAGTACTTCAACGATCATTAGTACAGATCCTATAAAATTAAATGCAACTGAAAATTTTGAATCAACCCATCAACAACAAGTGGTATTAAATACTACAGAAAAGATGGAATTAACTTCCGAGCAGGTAACAAAATCAACATCTGAGCAATCAAACAGTAGTGAAAATATTTCACAAACAAGTACAGAAGTAAATATTGAAAATACTGAATTTATTGACGAAACCACTACAGATATATTTATAAGTTCCGCTGACAATAATCAGTTTACTTTTGAATCGGTTACACAAATGGATAGCAAACCAGATAATATAAAATTTAGAACACAAAGTTATTACAAAAGCTTCTCCAACAGTCTTTTGGGGCGTCCTCAATTTAGACAAGTAGGACAATTTAACGATGGAAAATCTTATGTTTTAACCGAAAATATAAAAAGTTCGTTGGTTGAAACCGTTTTAACAGTTATAATCGAAGACATTAATGATAATAAACCAATATTTGAATATCCACCACCTGATACAAAATTTGTTATTGGTTATCCTGATGTAGAAGTATCGAATAATATCCTTCCGCAATATTTAATAAAAGTTAATGCAACCGATTTAGATATCGGTTTAAATGCTTTGATACGTTATAAATTAGATAATCCAGATTTTGGAATCGATGAAGAGACCGGCATTATATATCCATATTCAGGTGCTATGGAAAATTCAAATGAAATCAGCTTAACTGTGTATGCTGTGGATCGTAATGGAGAAATGGAAGGAAGCTTAAATAGTTCTGTGAAAATTATTGTAAAAAAAATTCATTCATATCAATTGATTCTATTAGAATTTCAAGGAAATCAAATGGAAAATGTTGACGAATTATTAAATGAAATGAGTAAAAATAAGGGATTTGATTTAATACCGTTGAAATGGGCCACTGTCCCTAATTTAACAGCTACAAATAAACAATCTCTATTACATCAAATGATAGCCAGAATACATAGGATTTTCGGACCAGCTTATAGTCAAAAAACAACATTAAAAGTTTGGACATATGCCATTAATGAAAATGCTGATTTCGTGAAAAGTGATAAGATTATAGAGTAAATATTTTCATATGCATGTACATATGTTTTTAATTGTTGTGACATACATTATTTAGACTTTAATTTAAATTTTAAATTAAAGTAGTTATTAATACTTTTGTTTTCTATTAAATAGGAAGCTTTCTGGAAGTTCTGATGTTATAGCTGCATCTTATGAAGATACAGTAAAATATGCTGACGCGAGTCGTGATGTAACTGCTTTTATAGTTGGAATTGTAATTTTATCAGTAATTTGTATAGGATGCTTAGGTGAGTAACTTTCGAATAATTAAATGGGTGGTTGTGTAATTTAATATGTTTAAAGGTTATTTCCAACATATAGTACTAGTTATTTATTTTTATACACAAAATTATTTTTAAAAACTCTTTTTATAAACTCATAGATTGCACTTTAGCATTCTGGAAAATGTACTTTTTGTACTCGTAAATATAATGAATCTCATTCCAAAGCAAATGGAAAATTCAAAATGCTTGATGAAGTCTTATTCAAAGCACCTTGAAGCTTCGACGCTTATACGAAGATTGCCCGCGATATTTTAACAACTATTTTATTGAATTATAACCAAATAGTTAAGTTTCAAATGTCTTAATGAATTGAAGATCACAAAATAAATTTTTATTTATTTATTTATAATGAATTTATAATTATAGGGCTATTTACAAAACTTTATCCACATATCCAATAACAAAGTATTACTAAACTAATACTATTTTGATTAGAGTAATGAAGTATAGTATTAGCTTAGACTATTTATACAAGATTATAAATTTGTGTGACTTTGATAAACTTGATAGTTTTTGCATATTCTTATAATTAAACTTAACATTTATATTAGAATCCTTTTTGAAATTTATATGTAATATGAAATACATATGTATAAGTACAGTTTAAAACTTACTGACTGTTAAACATAAAAAACTTAATTCTTTTCTATTTTTAAGGTTTTATCTCATGGGTTGTGTATTTCCGAAAAGCTTTATATGAGAAAACATCTTCAACTAGTCGTTCAGAAGTTTCGTCTTTTGCAGCTAGTTTAGAAACTAATTCAACTGAACCTGAGAAAGATTCATCTACACAAAGTTCGAATAATGTAAAACGAGATACAATGAAAATTGCTGGAACGACAACACAAGAAACATCTGATTATCAAACAAGAATGTTAGAATTATTAAATGATCGAAATCACAAAGAAAATGATGATAATTATGAAAATAATTCTGGTAATGAAAATTTTGAATGTGATGAAGAAGGAACGATACCAAATGGTGATATCGGTGGTGAAAGAAGAAAATCAGTGGTTAAATTTAATGAATTAGTAGAACGAATTGAAATTGAAGATAGAAGGGGCAGTCAAAATAGTGATATAAGTTCTGAAAGATTATAAATTATTAGAATTATTTCATATTATTATACGCATATTTATATTTATGTTTTGCATATATATATATATATATATATATATATATATTTACATACATATATAAACTTAAAATTATTAATTTATAACGGATATTAAAGAAACAAATAAAGAGAGAAATGGCGTCGAATTTAATTACAACTTTGTAAAATATTTTACGTTTAAATATTTTTAAGATCATTTTATATGCCAAAATAAATGTTGCAATAATTTACACTGCAAAGTCAATACTATTAAGAATGGAATTGAAAAATTTCAGTATGCTGGTCTGCTGTTTTTCGTAGTCCTGTGAATAGATCTAAATCTCATCATTGCTACCTTAAAATGTACTATCCTAAAATACATCTAGCACATAATGAAATATTAGGAAGATTCGCTTGATTTTAATATTTAAAAGAAATCTATTTTTGAAATTTATATTTTTAATGTTAGGTTTCACATTCTTGATCGTGTTCAAAGCGGAAGGTCTTGGAATTCAATACAGAAATATTAAGAAAAGTTAATTTTGAATTAAAAAAAAATTAAATTAAAAGGCATATTAATTCAAAAAAAGTCAAAAGTTCTGAACTAGTTTTTTAATGTAGTAAACAACTATGCTTATTTTTTAGCCTATTTATTTAAAAACGTAAAGTTTTGAACGTATACATAAAAACTCAAATTTTTATTTTTATAGTAGGTTTAGATCTTAAAGAAAATTTCGAATTTTTTTAACTTCAAAATTTTAAATGTGTTTTTATTCAAAATTAATTTTTTTTTTAAATTAGCGCGTTATGGAAGTTAACCAACGATATACGATTATTAAAAATATTATTTTTATACAATTATGAGATAAATTTGCAAAAGCATATACTGAAACCAGTTGACATTGTTAATTATCTTATCTATATGTATGTAGACGTATCTATCCGATATAATAGTATAGCTATCTCATAATGGCTTTATATATCATGGAGCTTTAAATGTTACTTTACATTTATTACCTATAATTGTATCTTTGATATTCTGCCTTATCATTTCATTAGAATTTTAGAAATATAAATATTATTACATTCATTGAAAATTTGTAATGTAAGGGTTCTTAATCGAAAATATAAAGTAATAAAAATTTGTTATATTTGTTTTTGTGTACTTGTTTATATCATATTTGTACGTATTATATGTATGTGTGTGGCTATGTAAAGTATTCTTTCAGTGACTGCGATTCAAGTAAAACGATAGTAAGTACAAATTAAAAAAAAATAAATGCATAGATTATGAAACAGTTCCAAAGTCTATATGTAATTTAATAAAATGCAAGAAGTTAGATCTCTTCACATGGTTAAAAATAAAGAATCCTCCAATTATGTAAATTAACCCGGTTTAACCAGCATTTTAATTTAAAGGTCTTTGAATATTTTCTTGAAAAGTTTCAAAAGTGAAGTAAAATATTTTTAATGTACATATTTGTTAAATTACAAATTTTTATATTTTATACAAATTATTTCATTCTTATGAAATAATTTCAAGCGAATACGAAATCATATGGTAGGCCATTTATGTATCGGGATTTAAAGCTTGACACGATCAAATTATCCGATTATGGATTTCTTTTCGGAAATGTACTTTACCGTTGTAAAGCACTGCTACATAGCTTTTTTTAATTAAATGTTTGTCGGTCTGTGACTTCTGTATCTCAAGTACAAATTAATCGAATACGCTAAAATTAAGATTTGTGGTAATTTTCGATTTGAGGATTCTATCAAAGAGTTACAGTTGCCTTGATTTGACAAACTCGAAGAAAATATTAATAGATTTGCTCAAAGAGAAATTTCAATTTCTGTTAAGTACATGTGTACGAGTATATTGAAAAATAACTAACATTTAGAAAATTTTGTATTTTTTATAAAAAAAATTAAAACAGAACTTTTTTAAGGGAATGAGGATCTCGAAAGAGGATGTTTATTTAGTAAAAAAATTGGGTTTCAATATCAAAACCAAGAAGCTTCGAATTTAAATCAAACAATGTTTACGAATTTTTAAGCTAAAATTTAAAGTTCAAATTTTTAATAGCTTCAAGTTCTTTAATTCACTATTCTAGATCATCGTCACTTTTACAAAAGAGTAATCGTTATATTCTTCTTTAAAGCAACGTTATGTATAACCAACGTTATCTTATCATTTTTTCTTTTTAAATTTACATATTTATATACATTTCACGCCTATACACAAATATTGGGATTGCCCCATAGAAAACATAAATTAGATGTTTTTTTTTTTGTCTTTTGCATTTGTTTTTAAATCGTAGGTAAATAAATGTAAGAATCATCAGTAAACTTAAAAGCTGCACAAAAAAATTTATTTTTCATATTTTCTCTATATGTACTCACATTCGACTTATCTACAGAGATATTAATTCTGTGGTATCATAAAGAACAAATACCAAAGTTTGCATTTAAATTAATTACTTTATTTTAATAATAGTGGTTCAAAGAAAATGTGTATATCTAGGGTTTTCTCTCAGAACATGAAATGTACATTTTTTTCATTTCGAGTAAAACACCATTAAATTTTTTTTTGTGTTATTTTTGTTTTAAAAAACAATAACTTATGAAAATTTAGTAAAGATGGTTTAAAAGCTAGCATTTTGAAATGTTGCTACTACATATTACATAGTATTGAAATTTAAACAAATTTTTCTATATTAAATAAGATTACCCTTTTCCCAACTGCAATTAGTATCAATCAGAACTGAATAAGTTCACTTATCAAGTTTTAAAAGTTTAGATATAATGTTTCAATATTTCGATAATTTACCTTACGTATTTTGTTGTTCCAAGCAAATTCTTGGAAATTGTTTTAATTTTCTTTAAATTTTCACTTTCTTTTCACCCAGTGAAGGTATAAATACAAAATCAGGTGAACCACTAACTTATACCTACTCAAAGCTAATTTTTTTTCGCTTAGGCAGTTTTTTCCTCAAACCACAGAAAATTATAATATATATAAATTTATACTTGCTCATTTTTTGTCTCACAAATGTGTTCAGTCTTAAATTGAAGCGAATTCAAGCAGCACATGCTTAAGTGTTTACGTAATTGAAGAATAAAAAAATTAAGTTTATAAATTATTATTGTTAATGATTTTAATTAGAAATTAGAATTATACCAATTTAATATAAAATATTTGTATATACATATATATAATATATAAATGTAATAATAATAAAGCAAGTGTATGTATATAGCGAATATTTAATAAAGAATTGCTGTAGTGCTCAAAACTTAATACTTCAAAACAAAAATACCAAAAATAAATAATTTTTTTTTTGCAAACTGAAAAAAATTTAAAAAGCTCTTAGCTTTTTCTGGACAAAAAAAAAGTTAATACAACTGTTTAAAATTAATACATATGTAAGAATTTGTATTTCAAGTTAGTCTCAAAACTAAAGCTTAACAATCAACAATATCATTTTTATTATTGTAGCGCGCGCATTTAAATTATTTTTGACGTTAAGCTGTAGCGAGTCGTTGTTATTGGTTGTGTAGAGAAAAACGTAAAGTGAATCAAAAGAACAAAATACATATATGTATATAAAAATTATTATAATTATTATAATAATAATTTCATTCTATACCTTATTTTTATTATAAAAATTTTATACTTAAAATAGAAAAATTTGCACGTATGTACGTGCATATTATGTGCGTTTACAATAATCATTGTGAAATTTAGAAGCGATAAAGTATGTCATATTGTAATTAACATTCATTAGTTACAAACTGAATATTATTCCTTTATATGTATAGTATAGGCAAATATTATTGTGTAAAGAATTATGTATGTATATATGTATGCATATTCATTCATAAAAAATCTAAAAACATACTTATTCCACATCCATTTCTAATGATAGTTAGTGGTTCAATCTTAAACGAGTAAATGAATTTAAAAAAGTTCTTTATATTATTTAAATTATAATAAACTTATAAAATCATAAAGTTAATAAAAAATAATTAAAGTGTACGTGTTAAAAATCATAAAATTAATTCCAAGTTCAGTTGTGTCGGCAAAACTAAAATTTGCTTGGGGACATCTACGAGTACACTTAATCTTTATTATACTGATAAGTTTTTTTTCATTTTTTCTTTATTGATAAGGTGACTGAGTAATAAGACTATTATTGTTTTATTTATTTTAAAAATAATTTCTTATTAAATATATATACACATACATATATGTATAACTAAAATGTGCTATTTATTGGTACGAAATATTCAGACTGTATAGGTTAAGTATAACCTAAAAAAATATTTGACTATAGGAATCCAAATGGGGTAATAAATTCGCAAACATATTTTTCTAATTTGTAGTTTTACCGTCAATTGATATAACATACTATTTAAAATATGTATAAGTGTGTGTGTACATGAGAGCTCACCTATATACCTTATTCTGACTTATTGGAAGTGTGTAATACCTCAATTAATCAAAATTTTAGGATTTTAGGATCGAACTTACTTACATACTAGGAAGAAAATTCTGATCAATTCCATATTGGAGACACTTTATACATATAAATTTAATATTTGAGTTAAGAACGTGGTGTGTAATAGTTATTTTGGGTAATTAATATTATGTACAATAATAATTTTGAATAATTTCATAAATATACATACTTTATAAACCTATGTATAACGTTAATAAAATAATACAAATATAATGCATGCTTACGGAATTTTACAAGCACATACATACATAACAAACTTAAATGATAACAAATTGAAATTGAGATTTAATTTAAACATGTGTCTAAACCTAAGTATTTATGTATAAAGACATATGTGCGATGTACACAAATAATATAAAGTTTATTTGTAAAATCCACATGTACCATATATAATTAGAATTTATTGACCTTTGTATACATATATGTATATACAATGTTGTATATAACAAGTGGAGTTAATTGAAAAACAAAACAAAAAAATTATGCTAAATAATAATAATTAACATTTAATTTAGTTAAATATTTTTTATTTTAAAATGGAACAGTGATTTTTTATTTTTTCAAATTACTATAATAGCAATATGATGTCAGAAGATTGTAAATAGTTGAATAAAAAAAAATTGAAAAATAAAAGCATTAAATAAAAATTATATAATATTAAAAGAAATTAAAAATATTTAAGTCTTTAGGTGTAAATCGATTATGTAAAATAAACGGTTATAATTCACGTGCATCTTAATCTCTATTGCAGTTAGCAAAAGCATTGTAACTTACAATATTGTCAAAAGATGTCTACATTTGTATATAGTGTAACCGATAATGCAAAAAAGAAATGTCACGTAATTAATAATGTCAATTGCCAGTCATTTTGGCATTTTTGTAATAAAAAAATTTCGATTGCTGATTTTGCTTTTTGTTCTTCAAATTGCTAATTTTGAAGATGATAATTTAGTTATAGAAATTTCCTTGACAAATTTTAAATTGAGTAATATCAACTTTTAAACTGTACATAGTCAAATTAAAAAAAAAAAAATTTAATATCGAAAATAAGTAAAATGTCAAATTCAAACTAGCAAAAATAATTTGTTGTTAAAGCAATTGTTAACCTGTTGCATGCAAAAGTTATATACAAAAGTTCTTTTTGGCATAAATTGTTGATTGCAGTTTTGTTACCGTTAGTGCAATTGTTATCGACCGGCGTTTGACATTATCAATTCCAACTTTTAATTTCTTTTTTACCATTTATTCACAAAGTTATTTTTTTTTAATTCAAACTAATCAAAAAAACTTCATTATTGATGCTCGTAAAGTGTCATAATAAAAATATTTAAGCGTGATTCAAAAAATATTTAATGATTAATTTTTTTTTCCATTTTATATAACTATAATATTAATGTAGTAAATATAAAAGCTTTTAATAATATGTGATTGAAAAAGATGGAAATTTTTTTATGAAAATCGAATTGGGATAAGTATATACGAGTAATAATAAAAATTAAGTAATGAAAACATATAGGTATAAATAATTACGAAGCTCCTATAAGAGACAGTGGCAAAAATAATAATTGAAAGAGATCCGATTTTTACAATTTTTATCATAAAAAATACATATACTTATGTAAATAATTACTATAATAAATGTTTTAACATATTTCAAATTCACATACCTATATACACATATATTTATTATAATAACGAATAAGAACTTATTTGAAAACTGGAACTAAATCAATAGATTTCCGTCCACACATTATCAATATTTCTACAATGGAATATTTAAAATGTGGTATATATATTGATTATCCCACGCAGAAATAGATTTAGATTACAATAAAGATAAATAATGGTTATGCAACTGAGAAGCAATTTATTAAAGATTTATTTCTTATTTTGCTTTTGTTTTTTATATTAAGTTGATTACGTAGGGTTTAAAAAATTTTCTAAGTTGCTAATTAAAAAGTTTTATAAAATGCTAATTAATTCTATTGAAAAAACCTAATCAATTCCCAAATAGTATGCAGTCTTCAATTTGCTATTTTAATTTATTGAAATTATGCTTTTTTCAGTTAATATATAAAGTTATTCAGTTAATATTAAATTTAATAGTTTTAGTTTTAGGACAAAAGATTAAAAATGTGAAGATTTTGTTTGAAAATTTAATTTTAATTGCCATTTTTAATTAAATTTAGAAATTTTCCATTCGCATAAATTTTAAGCATAATTATGCTCTCATAATGTATATACGTACATATATTTTTTGATTAAAAATGTCTAATTTAAATTACTAAACCTAATTTGTAACTTGAATTTTTCTTTAAATTTAACTCAACTTTATTGACTTAAGGCTGTCAAACATATTGTGATTAAGTATATTTCTTTTAACTATAATTCGAACTTGTTCTTGTGATTCTTTAGAGGGATTCGCCTCATAAAAGTTCTACTGTACTCACTGGGAAAAATTCTATCTATTTTAAAGAAAACAGAAACCAACTATGTCCGAAATCTCGGCAGCCGTACTTTTTAGCTAATTTTCACAAAAATTTAATTCATACCTCTTTATTTTTATTTCGAATATAATTCAAAACAATTTTATAAATATACTGTTTTCAAATTAGTTTTCCTTTGTAGTCGTTTATGAAAATAAATTTTTTGTTTGGAACAAAAGAAATTTCTGAATGGGCTATAATAATTTGAACACCGATAAACTTGTGTCCATCAAACATTTTTTTATTCAACTACATTTTATTCTAAAAAACACAAAAGGGCTATTGCCGAAAGAAGTATTTATATATGTACTTTTGTTACAACAATCACATATCAGAATTGGATTATAAATGAAATTGCTAATTTAACTAATCTTAGTGCGTTTTAATTTAAGAAATATTGAAATATGTTTGTTATATAATGGTAAAAATTGCTTCTACTTTGGGAAAAAATATTACGAGTGGTCAAATATTTTATTTGCAAAGTCGAAATATGATTTTCAAAATGGTTTATGAGCACTTTAGATTCGCTTTTATTTTCAGTTTGTTAGCATCAATATGCATAGCGTAATTGTGATATATGTATATATGTAGGTTAAATAAATTTTAATTTCAAGTTTGAATTCTTAAATATTTTTCAATATAAAGGGTAAGAATTAGCATTTTAACAAGTTTTTGTTATAAATAACGAATATAATGGATGACATACTAATTAAATCGTGATCATTTAATTATATTGTGTCTTAGAAATTGACCTTAAAGAAATAAAGAGTCAGAATAGGTTTCATTTTAATTTTAATATTCAAATTTATTTTAAAACTTTCTCCAACCCTAATAAGGAAATTCCTAAAAAGTAAAATTTGAACTGAAAATTTGGTTAAAGGAAAACGAAGGAAATCGTACCTGTAACAACCCATAATATCTAAATAAAAATCGTTTGCATTATAATTTTTGCAAAATTTATAATGTTTATTGAATAAATTTTGAACAAATAAAATTGTGACTTCATTTTATTATTTATTACAAATAACGTATTAGCATATTTTTGAGAATTTAGAATACTTTTAAGTGTATTTGAAGTACTTAGCCTTCTGATGAAAAATTTGTGTTTTTTTTATTGTAAAAGTAGCGTATCGATGCATTTAATATGAGATCAAAACTTCATTAAACAAATTTGCTCCACATGAACGTAACATAGTGTACGAGTATAATATTATTTTTTTGAACAAAATTTTAATGAAGTTGGGTCGAAGTAGTGGTTTGCAATGTAGCACTTTTATTCATATACGAATAAATTTTAAAGATTGTACACGTTTAGGATAGCCAATGTGTGCAATTTAGGACAGGCAATGTATGCAATCTTTGAAATAAAGCAAAAGAAAAATTTAAAGAGGCTTTAAGATAATGTTCGAATTTAAGGGTCAATTGCGTAATTAAGAGAAATAATTATTATATTTTTTAATGGCATGGCATTAAAAGCTGATAAAATTTTAGATATCTACAACCTGAGGTGTAGAAGAAGAACAATATCGAAAATTTGGAATGGAAAAAACGGATTTTAGATAATATTCAAATATGCTAAAAATGTGATTTGTAAAATTTGAAAAATGTTTATTGTTTTCTTACAATGAATAGTCAAAAAATGGCATTTTTAGAGGGGGGAGATAGGTAAAAATTTTCTTTAACGGAAATAAGTTTTTAGAAATAAATTTTCAAGGGTTTGAAGGCAGAAGTTTTGTAAAAATGTCCACGGATGGACGGACGGAAACTAATAAGCATTTTTTTTTCAAAATATGTTATTGAATTTTAATTGACAATGTTTCTTAACCACTACATCAATGAGTGAATATCTTTAATTAATAAAAAATTGTTCACTAGAAGGTTTCTTTTAAAAGTATAATAAAAAAATCAAAAATGAAAGGATACGATCTATACTTTTAATTTTCTTAATTTTTGAGACGTTTATAGAATTTCCTATTTATAGAAATTGTTCTGATCATTTCTAATTAGCATTTAAATAGATGACAAGCGGTAAATATAGTTCATTTCATTGATATTTTAGGCTTTATTTATTTAAGGTATACATGATGAATTTCCGTCAAAAAAGAAACACAAGTTTTGAGGTTTCCGTATTTTAATTAATAATTTAATTTAATGAGAAATAGTAACAAAAACTAAATAAAGTAAAAACACATATAAATATTATATTACTTCAAAATATAAAATTTTATTCAAATTCAAAAATAATATAATATTTTTTATTTTGTTACCTTTACAGTGGGTGTGGTATCATATTTGGTGTTAAAATTGAGGTATTTTTATGAGTCACTGCAATTACAAAAATTCAAAATTTTCTATCGGCTATTTGAAATTTATGTAGTCGATAAATGGTTCATAAATTAGCACATTTCTCTTGAACAATTTGAGTCTGTCTAGTTTGCAGTATCTACATTATTGGTTTAAGTTTAGTTTTAAAAAATAAAAACAATTTTTTATAATAATTCCCCTGTAAATATAATAAATAATTGTATAAATCATATGTTAGAATTAGACGTAAATAAATTTTGAGGGGAATGAAATTCGCAAATTTGAGAAGCTACAAAATAATTTACCGACGAATTTAAATGGTTGCGTAAGAGAAAAATTTCATCGGGAATTGGAGGAACTTTGTTTTAGGTAACGGTTATTTTAAAGATACAAAAATTAACTCCAATCCTGTCTGCGTTTACAGAGCTTAAACTTGGTTTATACACTTCGTTGTCAAAAATATGTATTTTTTACAACTTTTTAAATGTATCGTACCCTCGTTAAGATATTTGTGTACAAAATTTCATTATTTTCTCTTTGTAAGTTTATTCTCTCTTTCAAGTATTGTAACGGACGGACAGATGAAGGGATAGCGTGAAACAATGATAAATTTTTTCCAATATTTTTTTGGAAATGTACCAAAAATTCAACAATTAAAAGAAATTTTCAATATTTACAAATAGAATACCGTAAAAGTAGTGCTAAGAAATTAGAAAAATTATAATTTATGAAAATTTTTTTGAGTAAAGTGTTTCTTTAGTTTTCGTTTTGCAATAACTTTCTTTCTAACTGATTGATTGTATAATTGAAAGTTTATTTCGTTTTTTTATGTATTAATTTAAATACGAGTACTCGCAAATACTCGTATCAGTTGAAAAATCCCTACCTGTTTTTAGTAAAGGCGAAAATCCACAATATCTTTATTTTTTGTATGATTAGTCATTGTTTTCAATTCATTCAATAAAATTAGTTTAAAGATCGTTTATTCGTTCGTATTATAAAAGAAAATTTTATTTTCATAAAAACGTTCACATCAAAATTGAATAAATTATTTTATTACTTATATTGAAATTATTATTATTGCAAGCCCTAATTGAAAATTATAACAAAAGAATGAAAAAATGTTTCATTGTTCCATATTAAGTACAAAATATTTTGTTTTTTTTTTTTTTGAATTTGCGGGTAGCGCACGGATTTTAGACTAAAATGCGCTGGAATTATAATAATTACGAAATTAATTTAAATAATTAAGTATGAAACTTTAACTTTTAGTTCGAGTGTTTTTAGCTTCGTATAATATAGTTTAGTACTTTACGGAAATATACGAATTGGGTATAATATAATAAAATTTTATTTAGCCTGTGCTTGACTGTATTATAATGTAGTACTTATATACTAAATTATGGAAAAACATGGTAAATCGAAACATAACAGTAGTGCTATTATAAAACATACGCTAAAGTTTGATCAAATAGTGCATACTTATATAAAATTTTCCATAATGGAGTACGATGGTTTTTAGAAGTTTGAATCTCAGAAGTTTGCATTCAAACTTTCCCAAATTTTTTTGTCGTCAAAAATACAATTTGTCAGTACGATTTGAAAATATTGAAAAAAAATTTCTGAATACGAATTTTTATATTTTTTTAATAATACAAGATTTTAAAGCTAAATTCACGAGGGTTGGGCCCGAATAATAGTGTATTTAATAGTTAACACTCTATCTCTATTATTAATAGCGCACGTTTGAATAAATTTAAGAATTTATGTCTAGCTTAAATAAAGTTTGAAAATTGTATTCTTGAAAAATATGCAAATTGGTTTTTTTTTTAAATTCAAGGAGAGTAAATTTTATACCCTGAGACGAGAATATAGTTATTGAGTAAGCTCATTTATACAATATTATTGACAAGTGTAACATATATTAAAGAAATCAATTCACGTGCGAAACATTAAAATTTTGTTTTACTTCAGACATATAATGTACATATGTATCTACATATAAGAAAATAATGGCAAGTAAACCTGAGTTTGATGTTCAAAGCTCACTTGATTGAAAATGTAAAGTTTAGAAGGAAGTCGATATTACTTAAACAGGCTGGTGCTAGTTATACAAAGTTTGACAGCCGCGTACTAACGTGCGTCATTTTTATGCGAATTTTGTTGTACTGAATGTCATTATAGTTAAATAAAAATTTTTCTTGCTTTAGGATTTATTGTTTTAAATCAATGATTTTTATTAAATTTTCTTTTCTATGTTTTTTAATGTAATTTTAAATACATACATACATATTTAGAATTTTACATAATTATGTATGGATGGGAAATATATGTATCTTGATTGAAAAATTGTTTGATTAGATATTTTTTAATTTTATTTATAATTATGTATGCGTAAATGAGTGACTCGCGTAAATTTATTAATATACGATATTCAATAAAATTGAATTGATAGTATGCAATAGTACTGCAATATTCATATTCAATTCTATAAATTTAAGGTTGCAATGTAAAATACCCTCATGATAACACTGTGCAATGCGCGCAAAATCATAACAACTTGTTTTTATGCTCTTATTTAAGATCATTCGCTCTTCTATTTTCCTTCTTTAACTTCGCGATAAACCACATTTGATATACATTTCATTTTTGTGTAATTCAGTCATAATAAAAATTTCAATAACCGTGGAAGTCACAGTTTCGTTTGATAATTATTATAATTAAAGTATTGACGACATTCTGACATTCATAAATTAACATTTTATTTTGTATTAAATTAATATTACTCACGATTCTTTCCTTTCTTTACAGAAAATCGAAACGATGATTTAATATCAAAATATCAATAAGTGGATGGAGAAGAAACAAAACAAGATTGCTAAAAAACTTAAGTAAGATGAGATGAGGTTATATAATCATCATTAATCAATCAATACTATTCTGTTGGTTTCATTGCAATTCCGAAAAGTTGTTTTTAAAAACAAAAGTTGAAATTATATACACACATAATATGTACACACATTTGCTCATATGAGAACAAATGAACATCACTAAAGCGTTCGCTGTATATATTCAAAATAAAGTTAATTAAAATATCACTTACACATTCATAGAAACGGTAATAAACAAATTTTTAACGGTATTGTAAATTGAAAAAAATTTTTCGGTATTCAAAAAATAATATTAAGCTCTTTTTTTCTTTCTTTTTAGTTTTTGTAGCTGAATTGGAAAAAGCAAATTCAAATATAAATATGAATAAAATTCGATCGTTTTTTCCGAATGCAAGCGCAAATTTAGTATTAAATCGTAATTCAGCGAATTTAGAACCAGAGCTTGGATTTCAATTATTAATTGATTTATCACCAAATAGCGATGGCACAAACCAAGCCCAAAGTCAGCGAAAAATTCAGCCACAGTTGAATGTTAATTTAATAGGTGCGCGACATCTACCAACACTTTTTGGACTTAAATCTGTGCAAGGTTATGTTGTGAAGGTAAAATTTAGCAAAGGCTCTTGATTTTTTTGATTTATAATAATGACATTATATTTTTGTATTATGTATTGCATTTATACTGTTTAGAAAATATCTAGGCTTTTCTGTCAGATCATGATATCTGCATTTTCATCATTTCGAGTAAAACACCATTGAAATTTTTTTCGTGTTATTTTTGTTTTACTAACACATGAACTATACAAATGTTACATAATATTAAAGTTTTAAATTATTCTTCTATATCAAATAAGATATACACTTCCCAATTGCAATTAGTATCAGTCAGAACTGAATAAGTTCATATATCTAGTTTTAAATGTTTTTAAACGCGCGTTTCATTTATATCATAATAAACGACATGAACATTTAAATATGAAATGTAGAAATTAATATGTGTAGATGTTTCATTTTAAACTTGAAACGAAACATTAAAAAAACTAGAATACATTTTCATTATCTATATTTTAACGCGTTCTTAGAAAATTTTATGATCTCGAGAAGTGAATAACTGTTGATATCTAATTTTGTAAGAAAATATTTCGGAACAATTGGTTAGTTATAATGTTTTACAAGGAATTTTTTAAAACTATTAGAAAAAGTTTTTTTCTTGCAATAGAAAGTACTTAAATATTTAAATAATACTGCAACCAGAACTTTTTTGTGTCAAAAATGTAGATATTATGTTCTGACAGAAAACCCTAGATATAAAAAAACATAATTACCTTAAACTTCAAATTTAAGCTAATGAAGGTTTTGAAATTTTTTTTTCATCATATTTAAAATTACATACATATATTTATATTAAATTATAAAAGTGGGTTGTTTTCAGTAAATTTTTTTTGTTTAGGTAAAATTATTTCCAGGGACTACTAAGTATGACAGTTGTATTCAAACGAATTCGTGGCCAAAATTTAATGAAAACTTTAAATTTTCCCTGGAACCTGATAGAAAGTAAACTATTTTTAAATAAATACATATGTATGTATGTACTTTTAATATTTCACACTTTTTATTTGAAAAGAACAATACAATAAAATCTATGTTAAACACATACATACATATGTATATGCTTTTAAATATAAGATGTTAACAATTTGTATTCATATTTTAGGTCTTCTTTTAAAAACAGTCCAATAAAATCCACTTCCGACAGTTCTAGCAATGAAATTGATAAATTTTTCCATGGACAATTTGTTGTATTAACAGTTTATGCACTATTGGAACTACCGCCTGCTGTAATAAATTTTAAAATTACAAAAACAAATTAAAATATGGTTTATATCGAGATATTTATTGATTTTAGAATTTCAACCGATTAAATAAAACCTATAGATCTCTCAAGGAGCGAAGTGCTTCAATTGTTCAAAGAATTGCTGAACAAAATTCGAATTCTTCCGCTAAAAATCCTAAGACAAAAGAAACAAATGTGAAAGAGCAAAATGATTCAAAAAATAAAGAAAAAGATAATGAAAAGGAAGAGTCTAAAATGGCAAAAAGTGAAGCAAAAAGAAATATAGGAACCGTAACATGCTATTTAGAATCAAAAATTTTTAAAAAAAACTCTAGAAATAATAATCAGTATTTGACCGATGAATTTTGGTATGCCATTAAAGATTTAACAGTATCACAGATTCCAGCTGCACAACCTAAACCAACGGTAATTAAATTAGTAAAATTCTAAATGACTAAAATTTCTAATGACACGGTAGCTTAATTATTTATGTATTTAATTCTTTCCATAAATTACTTTTGTAGTTAAGTATGAATGCAGGAAAAGGCCAGTTGGAAATCACTATAGAATATTGCGATTTAGAAAGTACTGAAATACCACCACCATCACCAGTTGAAAATTCAAAAACCAAAGATAAAAGAAATTCCTCGGAATTGGAGACGACCACTGATTCAACTGTCAGTTTATCTAAAAAACCATGGATATCGGATATAAAGAGAAAACTTTCAGTTCGAAAATCAAAACCAACAATAAAAGGTTACATTCTTAAAGTAACTACAACGAAATTTCGTTGTTCGATTAAAGTAAAAGATGAATTTGAATCAGCTGGTCAACAAATTTATATTAAAACTATTGTTTATGATGGTGATATACCATTATGCTCATGGAAAAGTAATCATTTTGCACCATCATTATCATCACGTTGGGATCCAAAATTTACTAGATTAGAAGTGCCATTTCCAAACATTAGCTGTTTAAATCGAATGCGAATCAAATCTCAGATAGCAACTAAAGGAAAAGTTGGTAGAAAAATTATATTAGCAAGTATGGTATACAATTTAAGTGATGAAATTCTTATAAAACCAAATAAACCTATTGTTGCGTGGCATAATTTGCAATAAATTTTATATAAAATAAAATTTAAAATAATTTTAAGTTTTTGTTATGTTTTTTATATTATTGCATATAAATTACCAATGCATTAAAAAATTTTATACTTAATATTTAATTTTATTTAAATAAAAATTTATTCTTACATTCAATTGTGAATGTTTGTTTTAGAAAAGAAAGAAGTTTTGAAGATATGGTGCGTTTTAGTTCCTTAGAACACTGAAGAAAAAATATTTATATCAGACTGTAGTTCTACGTCAAGATTCTTTACATATTTTATTTAAAATTTAATAAAAACAAAGAATAAGGTGTAATGGATAAAACCTCATTTTATAATATTTGGGTGTCGCTAAAAAAAAAGAAAAAACACTTGGAAACACTAGATTAATGTCTTGAATCTCAGTACTGTTTCACGCTAGTATCATGAATTGCAGCTCTGATTGCTAATGCAAGGGATTATTAATTTTTTAAGTTTTTTTGCGTTTTTTTATGTGCTACAGCATTTTACAAGAACAATTTTTTAAAATGAATGCCTTAAATTTATACGACTTTCAATATGGAATGGAAATGTTTGACGTGATTGACAAATACAAGTGATGACGTTATGTATGAATTAAAAACAAACAATGGCGATATTGCGATGTGTAATTCAATTTTTTTCTTCAAATGATTCACCTACTCTATGTGATTCAACATTATCACCTTTTGAACCACAATTTTTTTTAACTTTATTATGTCAATTTTTTATAAATAAATGTTATTTCAAATAATAAAATTTGATAACAGTTAATTATCATATATGTATGCTATGAAATCATGAAACAATTTTCAAAAATATTTAGCTTGCTATGAATTTTGATTACTAGCACTCGTAGTTTGTGCTTAATTTTTGATGTAATTATGGTTTTAAACTAGTAAAGGTTAAGTTAGCTTATGTGTTATTCTAGAGGCAAATTTTAACAATTATTTTAGAATTAAGATTAATCCCTGCTTGCGAACACACATCTTAAATAGATTTAATAACCAAATACATCAAATTTCATATGCTTTCATTTGTAAGCTGTGTGCCAGAATCATCTTAAGAATATGTCAATCAAACAAATATGTCTTTATAGTTTTTATGATATGAAGAAAGAAAAAATTTATAGGCGATAGTACAAATTTGTCATAGTATTTAAAACTTTGATTTTATTTAATTTTGCATAATTCTTTTCATTTTAGTTTTACAATAACTTCATTTTTGGTCCTTGTAGTTCTTTTTTCTATTCTTAAAAAATTTGCAGTTTTATATTTTAAATTTTCGCATGAGAATTGTATGTATGAAATATGGCAATATTGAATTTATCAATATATTATTATGTTTCCGATTCAAGTGAACCGAATAAGAAAATAAGGCAACTAAAAAAATAAAAACGATTTCTCATTTTCCGATTTCCATTTTTTTGAGTTTGAGGATTTGAGTTCGAAAACTTAAAATATAATAATAATAATAAAATACTCATATGTTTCGTTTCCATTTAATACCGTTTTTTCTCTAAAAATTTTGATCGGTTTAATATGCTATGGTTAGAGCTGTCGTTTAGTTGAAAGTGTGTAGGAGTATGGTTTAATCAAAAATAGTTTTTTTATTTTAAAATTAAATACTAAATTTTTTAGGTTTAAAAAATTTTTATATGTTTTTACTATTTAACGAAAAACAATAGATCGCTCATATAAAAAAATAAGTCTAGTAAAATAAAAAACATATATAACATTGGCAAATATAAGTTGGTAGTGACTTAAGATTAGAGTATGCGCTAAGTTTCTCTGTTATTACGTGTTTGACTAAACTTTTAGGTAGGACTTTGGTAATGAGATTCGTTTAAAGACTATAAAATATCTTGAGATAAATAACGTATTATAATTTAGAATTTGGAAGACTTTAAAAATGTGTTTATAATATTGCAAAAATATCAAAAATTTTCTAATTTCGGTTGGCTGTCAAATTTCGTGCATAATATTTTAATGATAACAATTTCAAATTCAACGCACTTTAATTCATGTACGAAAATGTTCATTCTACTTGCACGTACTTACTGCAATTAATTTTGAACGATACCTTTCAAAAACACTATCCATTTCTTCTGTTTTGTTCCATTCCTCACATATAGTTGAATATGAATATAATATATTATATATACATATGTATGTATAATAAAATGTACAATAAGTTATTGAAATCTACATAAAATTTTATCAACGAAAAAATTTTTTGTTTGTTTTTGTACTATTGTAATCGACTGAAAGTTTGTCACTTTGTGAGATGCATTTCAGTAATGTGCTCTATTCGTTTTAAATTTTAGTCAATCGCAAACTGTTGAACAGATCAGTAGTACAGATCGGAATAAAAACAAACATTTATTTTTGTTTTGAATAAAAATTAAAAAAAAAAATATTTTAAATAACGGTATCAAAATTTTGCTGTTTCGTGTGTCAAAATTGAAAATTTTAATAAAAAAGATTATCTCTTCGTTTAAAAACAAATTACCGCACATTTTATTTCTTTAAATAAAAAAAAATTGAAATTAATTTAATTTTTTCTTTTAATTTTAATTTAATTAAAGTTTTATGTTTTTTTAGAAATTTTATTTAAATTGATGGTTAAGAAAAAAAAACAGAAATATTCGCAAATATTTTTGGCATTTTAGCAAAATTTTTGAAATTGCGTGGATGTGCCTACACATTTAGCCGCTATTGTACAGTTAACATTTTTCCGTTATTTAAATGGATTTATATATATGTATCTTATGTGAAATTTGATGTTTATTGTTGCAATTTTTTTCTTAATGATACCAAATCATATTTTTTGTCACTTAACTTGATAATAAAAAGATAATAAAAAAATTTTTAAAAGAAAAGAATTAGGAAGGAAATTTAAATTTTATTGTTAATATTTTGAAATAAAATAACGTAAGTGAGTTAATAAATAATATTTTAAGAGAAAAATCAGAAAAGAATTTGTAAAAAAAAACAATTTCTTGTGTAGTAAATTAATAATTGAAATTTAATTTTTATAACAGCATAAATAAATAAAATTTTTGATATTAAATAGCTACTTTTTTATAAATTAAATTTTGATTTTAAAATATACAGAATAATATTTAATATAGTTTTGTGAATACAGTGAATACAAAACTTTACTACATTTTGCATAAATTATAAGGTAGGAAAATTTACAATTTAATATAAATTTATGAAAATTTTGAAAACAAATTAAACAATAATTTTTTTAATTAGTATTGCAATTTAAATGGATAGGTTTTTACTTAATCCGAATTTTAATATTCTACAATTTGTTAATCTTGAAAATTTGCATAAATCATAAATCAACAAAGGTTTTTCTAATATTCTCATAAGACTAACGAAGTAAAAACCCGGTTTTTAACAAATATCGCACATAACTCCTTTATTTTATTAACCTCTTCAATTCTATGATATGTGGACGTAATTTTTGAAGTTAAGTAAATAAATCAATCTTATCTAGATTCATTTTGCAAACTTTAACATTTTGGTATATAATTATATGAAAATTTCGTAGCTGGAATTTTATTATTCGTATAATAATTTCATTATTATGAATATGACTTGTTATGCCTTCCTTTTACGATGAAGATGTTGCAATTGTTTCACAAATCTGTATTGCCGTTTTTGCAACATTCAAAATTGTGTTAATTGAAAATTTATATTTTATCTTCACTTATTATATTTGCCAATTATCGTGTTTATTCGAACCATTTGTAGAATCAATTCTATTTTACAATTTAATATCCTTTAAAAAACTACGAAATATTTGAGTTATGTATATTTATACAACTCCAAAATAAGAACTCTACATTTTGTAAAATATTTATAGAAACCACATCTTAAATATAAAAAAAATATGAAGAGTCCATCTTTATTATTAATATAATAATATCTTACATGGAAATAATTATATTAATATAATATATAAGTATGTACATATGTTGTATGCATGTATGTATATTCATAAAATTTCGTTTTAAATTTATGTTTTCCTTTGAAAACGAAAATAAGTTATAAATAAAATTACGTATGCACATAATACAACATTTTTTAAAATGCCACCATCACCAAACGAGTACTCCACCAAACAGAAACAATTAATATTTTGTGTGCACGAAATATTCTTAGAAGATATTTTCGTTTTTAATTTACCATAATGTAAGATTATTCATATTTTGCTGATTTTAAAAAATGAGTTTTTACCCCATCTCAACATAACATGCACTATATAGATTTTTCATCATCAATATTTAAAAATTTTCTTTTAAGGGTTCTATAAACTTAATATAAATAAACTTGTATGTACGTATATTATTTTGTCACAAAAATAAAAAAGAAAACAATTTAAATATAGCAATAATACTCGTATGTATATAAAAAATCTCTAAACTATTCATATATACATACATATATATAAAATGCATTTATGAACTTGTATGCGCTCAAAGATGAAAAGACTAAAAATGAAAGCATTTATAATTTTATTCTAAAAATATGTTCAAAACAAAAATGCATAAATTTCTGTCGAAAGACAAATTTCATCAAGAGCAACAGTGGCATTAATATTAACCAATTTTAAAAACAAAAACAAAATATTTAGAGAGAGTTTCTTCTGAATATCAGGCGATATCAAAGGACTGTCGAGGAACATTTCATATACCAAATTTATGTGTACATATTAATACAAACATTCATATAGTATTGAATATATGTTTTTTAATTCTACATTCACAAAACGAATACAATTCAGCAACAATTATAGTGTTTAACAAAAATATCAAAAACTGAAAGTAAAAATTTCAACTTCCCTATTTTGTTCCCCAAAAAACAAAAACTCAAAGTTTTAATGAAATTTTTCATGTGTTCATGCGTTTATGTTTATTATCAGTTTATTATAGATGTATATATATATATGTGTGTGTGTGAACATTTTGAATTCACTTTATTCCTCTAAATTTTTTATAAATTGAAATTCTCGGCTTTCTGTGGTGGTCTTCTTTTTCTTATAAAAATAACATAAAAAAGCATAAAATAAAAAATTGTTTTAGAAAAATTTTCCGAAATTAAAGAAAATGTGTTTTCTTTTTTTTCTTAATTTCTTTGGTTTTTCTTTTATTATTTTGTTACGGAAATTTATTTACTCAAAATTTTAAATCTCATCAGACCCGTCTGTCTTTTAACTCACGGTTAATGAATAGATACTATGGGTACATTCATACATACATGTTTGTATTTATAATTTTGTATGTGTTAAGTCTTTATCGGTACTTCTGTACATACATTTTTTTGTTTGTTTGTTTATTGGCATATCTATACAAAAATAAAAACAAAATCCATATCATATGATAATGTGGTAAAATGCAATTGCATTTCATGCATCTGTAATGTTGCGTACAGAAAAAAATGAAGTTAAAAGTGAAATTTTGTGCCATTTTTTTCGTTTTTTTTAAGTGACGAAAAATTTTATTTTTACTTTTGTGCATATTACGTTTATGTAAATATTATTATATACATAAATATTCAACCTATACAATTGTATGTTTTAGTTATTTATTTGTATTAAATACAAAAATTAATTTTTGTAAAAATAAAACGTGTATTTATAGAGTTTTCCGACAAAATGGTGAATTATACTAGCTAGATCTTAAGAACGCATCCAAAATACAATCATCATAATATGTGATTTGAAGTGTGTTTACTAGTTCATTCAATATAAAAAATTTTATGTATAAACACGCATTTATTTTTTGATATAGATGTTCGCGGAAATTTTTTTATATTAATTCACCGAAAATTGAAATCTGTCAAAGAAAAAAGATTTACATTTCCTTTTTAAGATTGAATTTTTAGCATTTTTCCAAAAATTTTTTGAAAAAAGTGCTTATTAGTTTCATCCTGTCTGCCCGTCCGTTCGTCCGTTTTTTAACCATTTTTTGCAATGGAACCATAAGCATTTTTCAAATTTTGTAAACGCAGAAAGGCAGCAGATTGTTTCTCCTATCGTGGCATACTATAGTTAAACTTTAAAAAAATAAAATGGCAGTTTAAATTTACCTTTATCTAAAATCCGTTTTTTCCAAATTTTTGATGTCATTTTTCTTCTAGACCCCAGGTTTTAGGACCGTGAAATTTCAGCAGCTTTTAGACACTAATAAATACTTTATTTCGTTGGAAGAAAATTTTTTTCCATCTCCACCCCCTCTCAACTTATCGCCTCTCGAAATTTGAAAAATTTGACTTTTTGACGATTTTTATTTCCGAAACCGCAAGTTTTTTTCAAATTTCTATGAACGGAAAAAGCTAACGGTAAATTCCATCTCATTAAAAAATATAATTATTTTTCTTAACTCACGCAATTAACCCTTAAAATCGAGCATTATGTTAAGTCCTCTTTAAAATAATTTTGTTTTTTTTTCAGACTGAAAAATCGTTCATAATAAGTATATGCAATCCTAGAAATAGTTTCGTGTATGAATGAAAATACTTTTAATAGTGTGATAAATATGCATAGACTGTATTTAAAAGCAGTATTTTCACTAATTGTTGAAGGGAAAAGTGCTACAATACAAACCATTGGTTTGACCCAACTTTATTAGTTTTATTTTCACTCGAATATTACCAGAGCTTCATCAATATTAAGTACCTATGTTAATGTATGATCGAAAGAAATTTATAGTTTTAGATGAGCTACGATCATTTTTTTCAGTTCAGTTTTCCGACGATAGGGAAATATGAAAATTATTATTATTTTTTTTATATTTAAAATTGTCAAATAAATTCAATGGGGCGCATTTATTAACGTAATTTGCGTTAATTTAATCAAAAATTTAAATATGCTTGGAAATTTCTGAAGGCAAACGCTTTCTGGAATTTATTTGAACCAATTTGTTACAAAGAGTCTTTGAAATTTAGTCTACGAGCGAAGTTTTAAATTATTGATAATTAAATTTAATAACAGTCATAAATGTATAGATTAGTTATTTTGTCAAAAGAATCAGTTTTCGAATGTACAAGAAAAGCGTATAATAACAAATTAATTCATGTCAAAAGTAGATTTTCATAAAAATTGTAGACACATTCTTCAAATTTATTAAATATTAGAAATTTTTACAATTAATAATTGTGTTAATAATATGCATGAGCCCAATACTCGCAATGGTACACTTTGTATACATACATATATACTCAAATTACGCATATATAAAAAAAATAAAATAAAAAATTGCATATTTATGCAGATACTTGCATATACATTCGTCTAATTTCAAATATAGTTCAATTCAAAATATATTTACTAGACAAATTTGCACCAGAAAGTGCAGCTAGCACACATATTCTTTTTATATTTATTTCTTTCATATAATGTAAATAAATTTTTATTGCCAAGTATTTTTTAACAGTAAAGTCTATTAATTGATATTTTTTTGTTGTATTTATAATTAAAATTAGATGATAAATGAACCGTATTTTCGCGAAATATTCTACTAATATGTTTTTGTATTTTTACAAAAATATAAGGGAGCATAGATGATTAACAGTTTTTGCAATTTAATGCTAATGATTTTCGTTTCGTTATTTATCCCTTAGGATACATATTTTTAATATTTTTTTAAAAAATACATACTTATATAAAATTAAAAATACACAGTGTTGTGTGAAATATGAAATGTTTAGTACATATATTCCAGGAGAACTATCAAAAGAGAAAGATTTCTTATTTGTTGTTTTGGAGAAAATTATGAGGTTTCAGTCACCAATGGTCAGGAAGCTCTTACAGTGCATACTTAAATTTATCCAGTAAATTTATTCCGCTATTCTTTTAAGTGAAAAAGATTTTCTTTCCTTTAATTTCGTAATTTCTTAAATTCGTATAGAGAACTTAAACAACAATTATGGATAATAAGTTAAAATGAATCTAATAGAATCTCTTAAAATTTGAATTTTTTGAGAATTTAATTACAAAGAGTAAGAACCCTTATTCTTATTCCATACTGTACTTTAAATTACTCTAAATATTTTTTTTTCACGAAAATTTCTTTTCAATTAAAATTCTAAAATAGGCTGAAATGTTTTTATTTCACTTTTTTAGCTTGAAATTTTGGCATTCAATATATAGAGCGTACGTTTACACAATAAAAT